ACGCCGGGCAGGCACACCGTTGATTAATTCATGAAACGTACACTATCTACACATGCTATGATTTCATGATGAAGACAGAATACCTATATATTGTAATGCCCTCTCATTCCTCTATCCTCATGATACTACCGCTAAGTCTGAGGACCGTAAAAGGGGCCTGTAAGAGGAAATAGGATATAAGCTTCGCTTCCTTACACTGCAGAATCAGAGAAATGGGTCAAGTGGCGCATCGAATCTTTTTTTTTGTTAATTATGAAATAGTGATGATTTTTAAGTAACAAATACCGTCACCGTCAACTAGGTTGACTTTTCACGCAATTCTGGGCAAATGGACCTTGTATATGCAGCATGTATAATATCTCAATCAACTTTCTTACATTCTGGTAGGTTTACTATTCGTCGGCTCCAAAAAAAAAACAGTACAGCTGGTTATGTAATATAATGAATATGATTGGTTCGAATCCCAGGGATTCCGCATTTCTCTGGCACAAACAGAACTTCAAAATTAAGTTCACTTTTCCACATCCGAACTCAGCGCCCGGCGTAACCATATGCTTGATTGTTCTGCTCGTACTGCGGCGGTACTTCTCCGAGACGTCTTAGGGAGGTTTGATAGGAAGATTAATATTTTCCCGCAGCTGCGTTTCAGGTATTTATATTCTTCATGTGACTACCACGAAACGTATACTCCGAGTGTACTAGGGCATTTACCACCACCTAATGTGTAGAAGATTGTTATCCTATCATTGTCGGGAATGATGCGACTTAGATTTAAGATGGTAAATAATACTGCATTTTCCATTTGTTTTATCGGGCCTCCAATTATTTGCCGTTTCTTTTAAAGCAAAGGCACATGAACCTCATCAGAATTTTACACCCGGTGTGTTATAATTTCATCAAAATCCGACCGACAAGATTATTACGTAAAAAAAACCTAAAAAATGAGTTTGTTCAATAAAATTCGGATATACAAAAACCATCAGCAGACCTGCAATAACAATAACCTACGCATGTGCGGCTTGGTGCTTTTTAGCTTAGTAATATAAGCGTAAACTACAAGTTCTGCAGAGTATAACTCTCAGAACAATAAGTAATGCCCAAGGTATGTCTCAAGCATTATAGGTATGGCACAACGGTGCTACCAGCAAGAGGAATCGCACAACAACCTTTTGTTACTTGAAGCTGTGGATTACACAGTCGAGGAGATACGCAAACATTCCAGGCCGCGACTCTAATTGTGAACAAAATTAAATATTTAGACCCTCAAAAATATAGTTTTGAGAACCAAACACGCAAAATTTAGTTCAGGACAAGTCAAAATTTATATAGTAGAATGTAACAGTCCCTAGATCTCAAATATTTACATAAAACAATTACTTTCCTTTCTCTTCTCGCTCATACTTCCTTCCTTTCTTTCTCCCTCTCCCCTTTCCCTAGAACTTGTCTGGTTTCTGGGCCCCCAGACTTGACAGACTAACGACAGACACTCACATTATGAGGTTATGTTACAAATATCTATTTGCATCCAATTGTTCATACTTTTGATTTAGGTATACCATCTCTTATATAGCCTGAAATTTGCTACTATTCAAGAAGAAAACAAAGCCTGACAAGAGGAAAGCGCTGACGCTGGCACGGAACTGTAGAAATATAGAAATAACACAGCCTTTCTGAAGGAGAGGAAATACTATGAAAATCAATCGAAGGTGGCCAGTGATGTAGCAAGTAAAAAGCTTGAGCTACAGAGAAATAATGATTAAATTACATAAAAGTAACGTGAAAATGACCTGCTAATGTCATATTTATAATGAATAATCAGTTTTAGCTTCTTCAGAAAATCATATCATGGCTGGGTGCTGCTCGCCTAGCAACTAAAGACCCCTATTACTGGTAGTGATGGGAACACTACGCTAGTGAAATTAAAGTCAAACAAGTCAATCAGTTTTCAAAATGACCTATTTTTCTATAGTTTGGGGAATACTCAGTACGTGGGACTTGTACAAATGGCGGAAGCGGCACGGGTATCATGTAAAAAACCTATAAAACGTCAAAGAAAACTAGAAGATGTCATCCTGCAAACTAGGTCGTCTTTAGGGCGCAGTCATTCCAAGTTTGCTATTTAGGATCGTTGTGAACGTCCATCTATGGAGGAATCACTCAACTAAACTACACGCATTATTGGTTGCATATGTTTTGTAAGGCCGAGTGATCCTTGTCTGTAGTTTTTTCTGAGAAGAAAGTTGGATGAATAGCAAGATCGCGTCTGGATGATTATGTGTATATTGGTCTGTATGTGTATAATCTCAAGTGTATCTGAGACAAGAACCCAATGTAATTAGCATGAACACATACAACTTACAGATTAGACCTCCAGTAATGCCATTTCAGAAGCAGATTTTATATCATATCAGAGCCAAAGATTGATAACAAGCCTCCATGACGTTTAGGCAACACGTACAACTAAGTGCTAAGTTAACATCTTGTAGAAAAACCTACATAATGTCAAAAAACAATATAATGTCAAAGAAAATCGATATAAAGTCACTTTTCAAGATACATGATACCCGTGCCAGAAGAAATAACAGATTGCAGCGAGTCACGATTGTCGTTCACTGTCAATTGTCACTCGGCAGATTAAACGTAAAAACATATCCAAGAATACATAACTCATTGAATAGCTAAAATGTGGTATACACTTTTTTCTTTCTATTTAAATATTATGTTTAATAAGGTCAAAAATCTTCAAATACTACAATGCCGGAACGCTAAAAATATAAAAGGAAAATGGAACATTATGTGGTCAGGTTTGGCAACACCTTAATAGTTTGTCATTTCAGTTAACTTTGGGTTGATTTGAGTGAACGTCGATGAGTGATGGTATGTGATAATTATTTCTCTGTCCGGTGACTTGATCCGTTTTGAATCGGAAAGATTAATTCTAAATTAACAAAAACATCGAACATACAAAAATATGTATGATTAAAAAAAGATAAGCATAAAAACACGCCATAAGAACGTCTTGCAGTACACGTGTACCCTATTTCTCAAGTATCCATCATGGTAGAATGACAACTGATTATCTAGTAATATCTCAAGATTTCCCATATCGACATATGACATAATTCTGACGGATCCGTTAACGTCAGGTAGTCACAGCTGTCTTTTGTTTTGGTCTTTTGTACGCTACGGATTCATTTTATACTTGCTAACAACTCTTTTATTTAGAGAAGTGCATTTGCATACAAAAACAAAAAGCTACAAACAAGTTTTACTAGATTTACACCCGATTCATTATTGCCAACGTCGCATACTAACACAAAAATGTCACTTGGTGAGCATCTGTTCACCTCAGTAGACGTCAAAGCGTCAGGGATACTCGTGAAATAGGGTATACACAACCGGACTTGTAGTAGACGTCATTACGACGTCGATATTTGGAACAAAACGTTAGTTAACGAGGTATCACCAAATTGCGACGTCATTATGACGTGCTTGTGCTAGCTGGGACTCTGCTTGGCATCAACAAGCGACATTTTATTTAGCCCAATAACATCACTTTCACAAGGATTTTCATAGTAGTGAAAATTCTAAGGACTCCTTCATTTCAATTCATTAATAATGAACAGTTGCTGAATAACCGGACGTCACTCGTTGAAGTAATTTTCCGCATTTTTTATTCGGTTATTAAACATTCGGGTCAAACGTTTGAGTGATGCGCGAGAACAATTGTTTCAATTAAACAAAAATATAACAATCAACCATGTTTACAGAGTGGTTCATGTTTTGAAATAGACCGAAATGCAGAGTCAAATCGGATAAGCATGCATTTACCGAAAAATGGTGTCACGTAATAACATTGTTCATGCAACTTCATGATAGTTTTTCGTCACGGTGAACAATTCTCTAGAGGAGCTGGAATTTTAAAGAATAGCGTCATGTAGGTTGACTCTGCACTTCTCATGCAACGTAAGATATCCCTCTGAGAAAAAAGTTGGTTACGAGCATGAATAATAAAAAAATCAAATGAATCAAGGCAGCTACACAGCTTTTCGATATTACAATACTTCCTCGCCGGTGGACTGGGAAGTAAAGGTAGTAGATTCGCTAAAATTCCCACATCGGCAATGTTCATCTGTCATCGCACAACACTTAACCCAGCAATGATCGCACAAAATTACTGACGAAATTTCATAATAACAATTATACCTAAAAATAGCATATTTACTGAAATATACACAACTGCTGCATTGCACTGTTCGTCTGTTTTAGCGGATACTTTTCGATTCCTAGAAGACCCGTACCATTTGTCATTTACGTTCGTAAAGATGCATAGATTGCGAACAATAAATATAAGCAACTTATTGAATCTTATGAATTATTTCACTGCATATTAGTTTTGTCGTATAATACTGCCCTGAATTAATACCCAGAATTCATACCACCAAATAGGTATTCCTAACTATCGCTGATTGAACAAGAGAACTTGTTTTAAATAATGTTTGTTCATATCCATCATAATATATATATATAACAAAATTAAAACTACTAAAAATCTGTAATATTATTTGCAGAAACAAAATGCAATGGTCCAATCTACAACTACCTCAAAATTGCTTAAATTCCATACCCAAATGCAGGAATTTATTTCTGTCCACTCTGAATTAACCTCGGCTTGCATAATTTCTTTCCTAGTATTGATAATTCTCCTCGGAAACATGGAAAAACACACTATTTCACTACTTTCGAACTACAAATTTCGAACATGTCATTTTGGCTTCACGATATCGAGTTTTCTTGGAAAAACAACGATCATATTAACATCGCATTTCTACCAATCAAAACGCTGGATTCTGACTGGAATGTCTGATTGAATAAAACTCTGAAAAGCTAAGAAATTTTTGAATAGCAGTCATGTTAAACACATTTAAATGAAGAAAACCGGGAAAATTTCAAAGAGACATTAGTAAATAATATGCGTGCGCCACTGCGCAGGATCAGGATTCATTTTGAACTCAAAACATTGATTGATTCACGTGTTTTGCAGCCTGGGTGACCATAAAATGCTGTGAATTATTAGATATATTAATAAACTACACAAAACACATGTTTATTAAAATAGCCTGCATTTTATTTATTGTAATTTACCCCGGATATACTGCATCAAAGGTAACCTATGTGTTTCCGGAATTTCCATACAAAGAAACAAGTAAAAATGTAAGTTTTCTACAAACATCTTGTTTTGATGATTATTCATGTCATTGTTTTTTGTTTTTATATGCAGGAGGTGATATATAGGGAAGTCGAAGGTGTTTGTGAACGAGGCTGTCTGGATAAAAATGGGGTAGCAAAGACGATTTGTGTGAGGCAGTGTGTGTCTCCGTCTTGTTTTAGGGACCTCTACCAACATGATATGGTAAGATTCAGGATTTCTGGTGTTCTATATGTATAGTTAACTAGATTTTAAACTAGAAGATCATCTAACTTCCATCTACATAAAAAATTCTCTTCAACCTACCCTTTAATAACTCAACTGTTTGATATAGGCTTGACGTCCAGGCAACCAATGACACACATCCAATGCTTTTTCCAAGTCAGCATATCGTATGTTATGAAAGTAGCATAAAAAATTTGATAATCTAGAATTGGAAAATATTAATATTTAATTTGAAAAAGAAAAAGGTTGTGGAAGGAAAATCATTGGGAATTCGAACCAAAAATGTACAAAATCCTATGGTAATCGGTAACAGGTACACAGGTAGAGGTACCTTTTTCAAAACTGTGAAAAATGAAAATAATCCACTGTGTCGGTTTATCTTCATTCGAGCACAGGGAATAAAAAGAGCAAATTTGTCCATGACCTTGACTATGCATCAAGGTCATTTCAAGATCAAGTGAATTTTTAAAGGGGCACCAAGATTTTTAATTCCTGAAATGCAAATTACGGACAATCGTAAGTCCTAGTAGGTATATCCTTACCAATGAACCTGACCAAGACGCTCAAGGTCATTTTTTCAAGATCAAATACATTTTTATGTGGACTCCCTACTTTTCCTCGAGGATAAAAGTAAGCGAACCAGTTAAATTAATTTATTATTGCATTAAAATGTTGGTTAAAAAATGTTCATTGCACAAGTAACAATTGGGCAATTGGATATTGCATTTCTTTCTCCGAAATCAATCTCATTTACACTAATGCCAAACAAATGAATTATACTTCACACTACTTCCACGCGAGCGGAGCCGCGAGCCTAGTCTAGGAGGCTTTCCTAATAAGATATCAATTGAGTGCCTTCGCTGACTCTAGTAGAATGTTATAAAATAGGACATTATGATATACCAAAATATATGCCAAAAATGAATGTTCTGATTATTTTTTAACTATATTTATATTGCAGTGAGATACAATAATGGGGGTGCCGCAAGGTAGTAACCTTGGTCCTTTGCTATTCTGTATTTTCATTAACGACTTACCAAACTGCATAAACAATTCAGAATGCCTCCTCTATGCTGATGACTTTAAAATATTTAAGCCCATAACATCATCTAAGGATTGTCATGAACTACGAAGGATTTAGATTTGGTATCCAATTGGTTTCACGAAAATAAGATGTCGTTAAATATCGACAAATGCCATGTTTTAACTTTCACACAAAAAACAATAGATAAATTTTACATACACGATTGAAAATGTACAGCTAGGCAGAGAAAGCATATGCAAGGATCTTGGCGTCTACTTCCAAACAAACTTAGCATTTGTCCAGCATTATGAAAACATTGTGAATAAATCTTATAAACTCCTTGGATTCATAATTAGGCATACAAGACATTTCAAGGATATAAATGCAATAATAACTTTGTACAACACTCTAGTGAGACCTAATTTAGAATATGCATCAACTATTTGGTCACCACAAACAATGAACCATATCGAAATGATTGAGAGAGTGCAAAAGAGATTTCTCGGATATTTATATTCTAAAAAACAATATATATCCTTTTATGATCTCATATAAGAATATGTTGAATGAATTTAAAATGGTCAAATTAAGTTATAGGTGACGTTTGAGTGATGTTTTATTCCTCTACACTGTCACTAACAACCTAAAGTATGATAATTGTGATTTATATAAATATGTATTATTTGTAGTTCCTAAAGTTGAACTGAGAATAAGAAAAAACAAATTGTTCCAGTGTCAAAAGTTAAGTAGCTCTCCTATAAATAGGATGATGTACGAATGTAACATTCTAATGCAACGGCGTGATTTTAGACATTTAGACCTTTGTTGTACATCAGTAGGACAAATCAAGGCTGTGTTTCTAAACAGCACATTGCCTTGATGCCATTAGTACCATATACTATTTCATATATTTTATCTCTGTTTTGCATTTTAAAATATTGTTTTGTCTTTGTAATTTATTTTTTAGTAAGGGCTCTTACATTTAAATACATTTGTATGTGTTTGTAGGAGGGTAGATAGATAAATAAATAATGAATTATCATGCGACTGTTAGCTTTACAATGAATAAGCAGAAAAACGTCGCAGTTCAGCAGATATAACAGCTAATCTTTGCTATACCCTATTCGTAGTCCATTTACACAACAAAGATGCAGCGCGGCAAAGCGGCAGCCGCCTAAGCGTTGCAATAGCTATTGGTCATTTGGCCATAAAACTACGAACAAGTGCAGGATTCGACAGGATAGAACTCAGGCTCGGGGTAGCGCCGGCAGTTGCTGTTCATATTCGGTGCATACATAGCGTGTGTTTATACGTTAGCGGATACAGCAGATGAAACAGAATATTTCTTCCAATGCTTAATCTTCAGTGATGTATCCTCCCCGAAAACGTGACAAGAAGGGATATTTGCATATTCAGGCTAAATAAATTGTCCTCAACATTTATAAGAGCGAAATTTTGGAGCATCCTGAAATGAAAATTCATGATATTGAAAGACGTGTGGCGAACAAACCAGACTTATGTCCTAAGACAATTTTCAACATTGTTAAATATAAAAAAAAAACAAAAAAATGTCTCCACCACACAAGAGGCTGCATTACACGAAGCTGTTGGATACAGAAGCAAAGTCCATCAATTTTTTGAAAGGCAGGACTTCCCTTCATAGACAAAGTATTACAGGAGGTGATGAAGAGTTACCTACTTTCAAAAGGACGTCATTCTATAGTTTTCTCAAAGAACTTCATTTTGAGTATAGAAATCTGGGCAGAAATAGTATTATTATAGTATTTTGATGGACAGCCAAGAGATTATTTTATGGAGAAGAAATTATTCAAAATCAATAAAGAAATACCGCGACCAGGACAGGAAGATTTATTATTTGGATGAAACCTGGATAAATACAGGACATACAAAACCTAAAGTATGGGCTGAGTCTACAATTAAATTAGCAAGACAAGCCTTTTTAGATGGACTAACCACTCCTAAATAATCCTTTAGGTACGTGTATCTAACCAATTCGTCATTTGTGTTGTAAAAATGGTGTCAAGTAGACTGAATCTATGAGCCCACGCTAAAAACTGAGCTACACTAAACTTAGCTATATCTGGTAGATTTGGAACCAACATCTGTTAGATGCTCTGCTTGTATTATACACTAGTTTTCTTGAATACTGTATGAAATAATGATTTCCAGGAAAAGGAAAACGTTTTGTTATCTGTCACATTGGCAGTGAAGATGGCTTTGTGCCCACTGCCCCGTGGGCATTTGAGTCAAAGAAAACGACCGACTACCATGAAGAAATGGACGGGAGTTCATTTGAACGATGGTTTGAAGAAACGCTCCCAAAGCTTGACGACAATGCCGTCATTGTACAATATTCAAATTGAACATGTAATAATTAATATTAACCATTCGGACGATGATTCAAGTACTTCCAGCGAATAAAGAATTGTGAAAAGTATGTGCACTTCTTTCTATAAAAATAATCATTTATTTTGTTAGATTATTCCAAGACCATTGAGGAAAATACGTACCTGTACAATCTCGCTTTTGGCCGTAAATGGACTACGAATGGGGTATAACCAAATGTTCTGAGGGTCATCGGTTTGAATTTCAGGCAACAATTAGTATGTTATCATGGTACTATAACGATCGCCAAATACGATACGTACTTTTTTTCGACTACTGGTTCATACCTATCTATCCTCATTATTTTTTTGTTTACATATTTTTACTAGTTTCTTTTCCTGACTTGCTCATCCCTTTCATCATTTTCGGATGTTCCACGATGCAATGCCCCGCCCGCCTCCCTAGATGCTATATGTTCCAATAAATCGAATAATCTATATTTGGTGTATCGTGAGAGCTGAAAGCACACCGCTCCCCCTCCTCTCTCCCAATTTGCGATAAGCAAACCCCCCTCGCCCTTCAATTTTCAGATAAAAACTTCCAAGCTACTCATCTTATGCTCGTTTTTTCCAACATACTCATTTTTTACTAATTTTTCATACAAAAAGTTATATAAGTTTGATGGTTTGCACGTAATGGCAACCAGAACACAACAACATGCGACAAAAATTTGTAAAAAATCGCTGATAACGATCTGATTTAATAATAAATGCGCCGATTTAGCGCCGCTTCTCAGTTACTAAAGAGACATGCCAGTCAAAACGCGACCAGGTAAGAATATAGCGTACAGCTCCACCAAAAAATTCACAAATTAAGGCTCTCATATATTCATTGTAAATGATCCAATAAATTATGATGCTATCAGTCCCACATATATTCTTTCTGGATACGATTCAAATATTTTAGTTCCAAAATACAGATAGGTATAGATTTAAGACAATCACTGTTGCTGTTTTATATGAGGGAAAACGTATTAGCCCCAAAGCCTCCTGAATATCCTTTGACTAGAATTGCCCACTGACTGCAGTAACAGTTGACATTTCGAAAAAAAAACTGAAGTTTTTATAAATATTTTTTAGATGTACTTTGAAATCTATCACCGTAATTGTAGTTTTTGATTTATGGGTAGTAAAATGCCATGTTTTGTTATAGTTGGAAGAAGGAGAAGTAGATGTGAGACTCAATTCCTTCAAAGGCTGCTTTGTTCAAAGATACAACAAATTTCGTACTTGAGAAACCCGCATCTCTTCTTGGAGAAAACATGTTAAAATACTAAACACTTCTAAGCTTTTAATATACTTTATTAAATAAAAAAATCAATTAAAAATCTGACAGTTTTTCAAAAACCCTAGGTATTCGCACCGTCAAACACAGCAACAGCTATCAACAAGTTCCTACGTGTAAAATGTACACTTATTAGCGGGGAATTTTTCGTTTGGAATGTTCTTAGTAAGTATGCGTCTCCTGTCTTGACATCAGGATTGTGAGATACATTCACTTCTTCGGAGCTGGTTTCTTCACTCAGCTTGGCGAAATCCCAGATGTTCAGTGTGCAGTCCAAGCCTCCTGGAAAGATGCGATCCAAGTAAAAAAGGATAACCACTTTAGTAGCTATTTTACGACTATATCTTCAAATGTTGTACTTAGTCTTACACTGAACTGAATATGTTTGCTCTCCATCTCTGTAACGATGACCAACCGCATACAATCTTATGTCATGCGTATTAGCAATCATCAATACGATATAGGTCTAGTTGTTGAAAACAGACAAACGGAAAGCAAACAAGCAGGAATGGCCTAATTTGGTATTTAGATATTTAGTTAGCTTTATATATTAACATAAACAAAACAATTACACATCACTTGGATCTAATAAATAATAAAGTCCTTAATTTCGTCTTGAATATTGTTACATTTTGTGCTGTTTTTCTTTCTAGATGTAAACGACTATAAATTCTTAAACTTACAATTTTTCCAATGTCCTGGTTTTAAACCTTTCAATTGATTATGTATCAGAAATTTAACAGGCGATTCTTTGAGTAATTTTAAGACAAAAAGTCCATATAAACATAGGTCCGCAAATTATTCGCTCTCACAGGGTATATGGTGTTAAAATTAAAAAAAAATGGTTGTTCGTAAATTTATTAAATAATTTGGTATAAAAAAATAATTTATGTAAATAATGAAACGTAGAGGTCCTAGAATAGTGCCCTGAGGCACACCATGCTTTACATCTATATATGCAAAATAATCTTTTAAGTTTGTTCCACACCATAACATTCACGTTTTTCATTGAAAAATTTTCCATGAATTGTTTTAAATACCCTTTTTAAATCTATCAAAATGCTAATGTTGTGCGAAAGGCGATGACGGTAACTGTCTTTCAGTAGGCCAGAGGCTTTCTGTTATTTTCAGCGTATGATCAAAGTTTTACGAAGCATTTGTAGGTTCCGTAGTGCGAGTTTCGAGTTTCAGATCCGTCCGGTAACAACGTCATTTTATGGACTGCTGATAGTTAACTTGTTTTGGTTATGCGCCGTGCAAAATGAAACAGCGGAATTTGGAGCAACGTTGTACCATTAAATTTTGTATTACGCTTGATGAAACGGCCAGATATTTGATAAGTTGAAACAGGTCTATTGGAGCATTCCTTATCCCGAGTTCAAATTTTTGTCTGGCACAAATCATTTTTGGAAGGCAGAGAAAACGTTGATGATAAGCCCCGCTCCGGGAAACCTTCAATTTCGAAAACCGACGAAAACTTCGAACGTGTGAACACACTTGTGAAATTAGACCAAAGCTTAACTTTAAGAATGTTGAATGACTAGTTAAATTTGAACAGATTTACCGTTCATCAACTTTTGATTCAGCATTTGCACATGCGAACAAGCTGTACCAAAGAGGTGCCGAAAAAACGATTGTACAGGACAATCGAAAAACGAAGCGGCTTGATCTTTTTTACAGAATTGCTAATGACTAAGATGTTTCGAATCATGTGAGGCCAAGAGACAAGTCAGGAGTAGCACACTGCGAGGCCTTCTCAGCCAAAAAAACTGAATGCTGATCTTTTTTTGACAAGTGGCGAATTGTCTACAAAGAATTTGTTCCTTCAAAACAAATTTCTTTTATAAAGGCGGCCTTGAATGGCTCAGAAAAAAGATCCGACTTCCAGCGCGACTTCAAGATTGGGAAGGCCTCCAAAAATGTGTAGCTTCTACTATTGATATTTGGAAAACATAAATTTGGTAAATAATAAAATGACGTCAAGTAGGTTGACTCTGCACTTGCAAAACGCTATCGTCAGTTCATAAAGGATTATGTTCGGTACAATTTAGAAAAAAGGTTGCTACGAACATGTAAAAAAAATTAAATGGAGCAAGTTAGTCAAAGAGGCTCAAACAATTGCAATTTGCGTATTTACTATGCTTTTCTGTTCAACTTTGGGGTTCTTTAGAACTTGATAACTTGAGAAACTATGCTACCCCACGTCTTCCAAAACGTTTTGGAGGCAGATAAAACAGAGAAGTTAAACTGATCAAGTCAGTGAAACAAGCCCATACAATTCCTTCATAGACATCTTTACCCTGTCCTAGTGATAGTACCGACCATCTGGCAAGGTCGTTCCTTTCCCATACCTCCCTAGCCGTTAGATAAATCTACTCTCCACGGTTCTTTTTTTTCTGGGGCTGTTTTGGGCCATTTGTCTTTTTTGTAGTTTTTTCCTTTGTTTTTTTTTGGACGTCCGCACATCTTTTTGTTCAACAAACAAAAATAAAAACATTTTTACGCCTACTGGAGAACATGAGATGAGATGTTTTTTGGAGGTTATATGACATGTACGTTACGAAAAACCATGTCACTCATTTCTGTCTGTCGGTCTGTCTATATGTTCGCTAATCCTATAACTGCCTATAACTTGAGAAGTACCACTCGGATTTTGGTAAAATTTTTACATAATGTTACTACTATGCTAAGGACGATAAAGTTTAGTTGGTTTTGAAAATTGGCGGAAAAAGGCAAAAAATGAAAAATCATAAAAATCGCTCACTTTTATTTTTGGCGTTTCAGGGGATCCTGATCATTTTCGGAAAATTTGTAGGAGTTAATAATTTCGTGTTGGGGGTTGCAGGGGGTTCAGAGAGTATATATCAATTTTTTACCATTGGTATATTTATACGATTCCAACCCCAGTTATTCTGGGCACCTATTAGGCACATTTCACTCATCATAGATGTCCCCGTACATTTATTTAACTTGGTGGGACGTGGTTCCCCGATGGATCAACGTCGTTCGTCACAGTCGGCAATCGCTTCCGCACTGCTTCTTCTTCTTGGCGCAACGTGAAGCAAAACGACGCCGCTAGGAAAAATGCCCTGCCGGCGGTTTTTATTAGCGCGTTTCACAATCGGAGGGTTTATTGATTGAAAGGGCGACAAATAAAGCAGTATAATCACACAACTAACATCGACAGAGGTGAAACCTAAAGGCGGCGTCTTAAGAGACTAGAGTGTCCGAGGTGGAACACTCAGGATGCACAGGCACGATGCGCAATTGGTTCTTACTTTAAAAATGGCTGGGGTACATATCCTAACACCTGCAACGTTCATTTTTCCATCCGTCCTGAGTTATGGGATGTAGCTCTCTCCCGACAGACAGACCGACTGACGGACAGACAGACCAAAAAAAAATGAGTGATATGGTTTTTGTTCGATCTGGCAACAGTGGACGCGCAGGGCTTGGAGTGGAGGGGAACATGTGATCCGCCTTCAGTTCAAGTTTGAACTCGCTCAAGTGTACGTATATATAAACGAGTTTTTGGCCAGTAAAAACATTCATGTGACTCCTCAGCCTTTTTATTTGCCTGACTTTCTCTTTATGAAGTTGAAAAATCACCTCAAGGGAACTCATTTTGGGACAGTCGAATACATTCAAACGGCTGTAACCGACCAGCTGAAGCCTATTCCAGTATCGGAGTTCCAGCACTGCTTCGAGGAGTGGAAGAACCGTCTCCTGCACTGTTTTTCTTCAAAAGGAGGTTATTCAGAGGGTGACAATATAAAACTGTAATTATATTTGAATAAAAAAGACTAGCATCACTGAATTTACAGACCTCGTATTCACATCCCAACTTACCTGACACCAATATACTCCCGCACCGACTGAACCCAAGACAATGTACCGCTCCGGCATGTCCAACCAACTCCGCCACCAGATGTCCGTGTGACAGATCCCACATCAGCACCTGTCCGTCTGCGGCCGCCGAAGCGAGGAACCTGCCGCAGGATGCGAACGCGAGCGACTGCACCGCCGCCTTGTGGCCGGTCATCAAACGAACGCTGTTGCCAGTTGTCACGTCCCACAGGCAGACGCGGCGATCGCTACTGCCCGTTGCTATGTAGTTGCTGTTCGGATGGAACTGGACGCACTGAAAATAAAGCAACGAGTTAGTTATAATGGGTCAAAAATGAAGCAATCATTCAAGACAAATTCTTTGAGTGGTAGAGAAGTGGGTGTGGACGGAGGGTTGCAGGGACTAAGGAAGGGTATATCTCAATTGTTTGTATACGCTTCTAACCCCGGTAATTCTATTAATGGAACTATGAGACATATGTCACAGATAGGTTTCCTCGCATATTTGCCCTCAAGAGAGAATGATAGAAGTCTTTCCATTCCCCGCGCCGAGCCGACACTGTATTTCGGTGTTATCCGCCGAGTAAGCGCAACGAAGATAGAAAACGACCCCGTCGGGTCCTGGCTGCTGGTGAGTCATCGCCACTGTGATCAGATTTCAATGCTGCCAAATGGATACTAGGGACAAAATGTATGGCCCTATTTGAATGATTTGATTCATTTAAGTCATTTTTTATATATCTTCGTAATTCTTCTTTTTTTTTTTTTAGAGGGATAGCTTGTACCGAAAGTAAACAAAAAAACGGATGAGGGTTTTTAGCATTGTTCAAAATTCTCCCACTTTCGAATATTTTCTGTGTGTTTACTCAAAATCAAGAAATTATAAAACATTTCTCACCTTTCAAAGATTTTAGAATAACGGAAAAATACTTCTGTTGAAAATTCAACAATAATTGGGAGCAATAAGAGTATGAAAAAATAGAATAAGGTTGTAGCGTTACAACGGGTAGTGCGAGAAGGTAAAGAGTATTTATTATCAGAGGTGAACCAATCATCTGTCTTTCAAAGAAATAAACTTCAAAAATGTTAAACACGCTTTTTTGCCTCTATAATAAAGATAACCCGAAGAAATTTCTTTTGAAAAATTATCACCCGTTTCCTCAAATATACTTACATCCACGTCCGAAAAATGTCCAGCAAACAACCTCAGTGGCTGATAGTGGTCAGTGGCCCACAACCTGGCGGTTCTATCATATCCAGCTGACGCAAAATAATATCCCAAAGGAGAGAATTTGACGTCCCAAACTGGAAACATGTGACCTTTGTATACCACCAAACAAGTCCATATCTGAAGGCTCCATAACCTTATGGTGGTGTCTTCAGAACAACTCAGCAGCAAAGTACGATCTGGAGAAAACGAGACTGCATAAACTGGTCCGCTGTGACCGCATAGGGTTCTTGAGGTCTTTCCCGATCTTTCGTCCATCATTCTCACCTGTTTAAAAAAATCAGGATTATAAATCTCGTGGCTGGTTGACGGTCTCAGACAGTCGAGCGTGGAGGTACCGCCTGGCGGTTCTCTAAGGCGGAGACAGAATGCGTGTATGTTGCATGCACACGTGTTCCCTCGCGTCCGTGTGATGTATTTAGGCATTACGTTTGCGTGGTGGCTCAAATATAAAAAAACTGATTAACATATTTTAGTTCAATTTGTCATTTCAAAACATCACAAGACACACATTTTCAATTTTTCATGAGACAACTGGTCATTGACTAATAAACCAGTTCTAAAAAAATTTTTTGGGTTTAATACAATAGACAATAAAGCATATCTACCTATCTTCTATATATACATATATATACATGTACGGGAAGACGTAAAAATTAAATCCCGAGCACATGGTTTTATTCGCGAAAATATACAATTTATTCAAAAAGTATGGATAGATGCAAATAACTCGAAAAATACGTTTCCTTTAGAAAAATGTTGTAGAAGTAGAACAAAGTTTTATGCTTTGAAGAAATTCATCTAATGGTGATCTTGTTATTTGAAGGACAAAACAGTTTTCTTAAATGAAACCCCTAATTTTGACACCGGAAATGTAAGGATCATGAAATTTTACGTCAGAATATGTCTTTGCCCATGACCTTGACCATGATCTCCTTGGGTATCGGGAAAGTAGGTAAAGGACAAACTTTACCGAAAAATACCTTTCATAACGACAAATGTGTAATAAACTTATAAGTTTTGATAACTTTCGTCTAATGCTGACCTTGAACATTACCCTGACTATGACCTTCAAGCGTATTTGAATGTCCAGACAGTTTTCTTAAATGAAACCAATAATTTTTGACACTGGAAATAAAAAGAGCAAGAGAGTTTATGTTCAAATATGTACATGAGAGTCAGTATGACCATCAAGGTCATTTGAAATTCAAATTAATTTTTAACTGGATACATCTATTTTTAATTCGTAAAATGCAAATTGCCTACAATTTTAAGTTCAAGTATATCTTTCCCAACGAATTTGACCATGACCTTGAAGGTCATTTTAAGATCAGGTCCTTACTTTTTGTCGGGGATATAAAAAAGCGAAACACTGAAATTAAATTATTGTTCAATTAAAACGCTGGATAAAGAAGTTCATTGCCAAAGTAACTATTGCATTACTTTGACTATTGCATTTCTCTCTCCAAAACCAATCTCCTTCACACTAATGCAAAATGAATGATGTATACTTTACAGGCGAGCGGAGCCTCGAAATAATAACAACGGAAAAACCCAAAAAACATGTTCGGGACTTATATTTTGCAAGAAATAGGGTTAGTGGTATATAACTTAAACAAAATTATTATATTAATCATATTTTTTATTGCTTATCATTGAAAATTGTCCTATGAGCATGTTAGCTTCGGCCCGCAAGGCAAGATAATTTTTGGAGAGCTTTTTGTATTGGATATACAACCAACAACAGTAGAAGCAGGTAAATCGAATATTCCTAAATGTCACAGTGACAGTTGACAGTAACGGAAATCCTACTAAATGCATAGGACTCAAGTTGGCGTTGATAGAACCTTATTTTCGCCGGACTGTCGCCTCTGGTAGTACTTTGTAGATGAAGGTTAATTGTAGAGAACATAGGCTTGCGAGTGAATTTTGAAAAAGGTTAAATTATGACTATATGGTACATAATACCATAACATGTCACATGTTATATTACATATTTTAATATCTTTAAGTGGAATCCCGGGCAAAGCAAACACCCTGGGAGATTTTAATTTCCCATTTTACATCCAAACCATGGATCTCATCATTTGAAATTTCAATTTGAATCACTTTTTGGTATGTTGTAATTCGAGATTACTCTTAGTCCTTGCTTAAAAAACAGCAGGAACAGTCTCAGTATCAAAATTATTCTTACCAAAACATCATCCGCTTCCACATTGACTTCCTCAAGTTGCTCAGCTGACTTCATAGCTTTCAGTTTCTGAGGTACCAAAGTCCATACTTTGACTATGGAATCATTGAATCCAACAGCTAGCATACTGGAATCTTCTGTTATTTCTGCACAGCAAACTCTACAACCAATAAAAAATATAGATTGGTAGACTTGGAATGCCAAGCTAACAAATAAACAGTTCTTATTCATTTCTTTTATTTACTCAAGTAATTCTTTGATTTATTATATAACTTGTAAAATATTTTTCTGTATTGCCGGATTTAGCATAAATTATTTAATTAGTTTTTATTAAACAATTCAGACGGGCCTTGCCAGAAGCAATGCTCCATAAAAGGAAAATATAATAAATCAGTCGTTTAACTTAACCTCTTACTGCATAGTGGGTCATATCTGTCACAATTATTTTTTTAATACTTCCATTACAAAAGGAATCATATTCAACCACTCATTCGTAAATGTTCATATAACCGCCACCTCAATGCGGCTTTGTGAAGTTTTATGAAAATTTGCAAATGGCGGTCATGTTAACAGCTGTTGCGAAGGATTGTGGATTTTGATCTTCAACAATCGAGATTTTTACCATACATTTTAGTTTATAAAAAATAGCCACAACAAAGATACAAGTCTAGAAACAATAACTGTGAGTAGATTCAAGTAGTTCTTTATATTCTACTGTTTTTTGATAAATAAATGTGTTTGTGCCATATATGGAACAGTATGGCACTTTCCAAACCTTATTATTTCAAGTTTTATTTATTTCAAGATAATGGAGCCAAAAAAGTTTTGTGGTTCGAAAAATCTTGTAGCAGTCAATATACCAATGGATAGTGAGGAAAATCGATTGTCAGATAATGATAATCCAACCATGATACGAGGGACGTCTTTTAAGTTTTGCATATGGAAATAAAAGAACACGGTAGGTAGTTTTAAATGACTTTATTGTTTTTCGAAGTATTCTCCACGAAGATTAATACACATCTGCATGCGCTCGAACCAATTTTCGAAGCACTTATTCCACTCGTTTGCTGGCAGATCCAAAACGGCATTTTTGAATGCGTCAACTGCTTCTTCTGGTGACTGGAACCTTTGACCACGCAGTCTGTTTTTAATTTTTTGGAAAGTAAAGAAATCGTTAGGACTTAGATCGGGACTATATGGAGGATGGTCCAATAATTCCACGTTTTCTTCCGTTAAATACTGCCTTGTTTTTTGGGCTGTGTGCGAGCTTGCATTGTCTTGGTGGAAGATGATTCTTCTTTTGGGGATGATTTTTCGAAGCTCGGTGATGACTTTTGGCAAACAAATGGTAGTATACCAATCTGCAGTAACAGTTCTCTGCTCATTAAGAAGAATTGTTGCAATATGACCCGCTTTTGACACAAATGTCGCGACCATCTTTTTCGAAACACTTCGAGAACGGATGACTGTTGTTGGCTTTTCTTCACCTTGGAACACCCAAAAGCCGACTGTCGTTTATTTTCTGGTTCATAACAGTAAATCCACGATTCATCACCACTAACAATGCTGTACACATTTTTTGAGTTTCCGGAATTGAAACGGTCAACCGTTTTTTGACACCAATTAACCCTGGCTGCTTTCTACTCTTCAGTCAACAGGTGGGGTATCCAACGAGAAACTAATTTTCTTACTCCTAATTCTTCATGTACATTTTTTTGAATTGAGGTCTTTGAGATCTTCAAGGATGCCTCAATCTCGCGATATGTCACATGTCTATCTTCAATGATGAGTTTGCGCACAGCATCGACGTTTTCCTGGGTGACTGCCGTTTTTGGTGCACCCACCCTGGGATCGTCGCTAAGACTCACCCTTCCACGTTTGAATTCTCCATACCAACGGGAAATTGTCGACTGATGTGGCGCTTTGTTGCCGAAAACAGGGGGCACGCTGGGATAAGGCACAATGAGACTACGGACACTCTGGCGAAGATCAGGATCAGCCAGCAAGCTCGTTGGTCCTGAGCCAGCTCTAGGAGTGACCGCGCATAAAGCTAGGAGGAAAATGGAGACGTGGGTTGCAAGCCAACACTCTCAGAAATGGAGAAGTATCTCCAGACATCTCCGTCAGGAACGAGAACTCATTGAAGGACCCAGTGCTAAGGATGGACGCTTCTGCCTATCTCTGGATAGAGCCAACCTAAGGTTACTGGTGGAACTGTTGTCTGGCGATAACACGTTAAGGCGTCACCTGCACGTGATGGGGGTGGCTGAGGATCCCTTGTGTGAACGCTGCGGAGTAGAGGAAGAGACCTCGGCGCACGTTTTGTGTCGCTGTGAAGCTCTGAGCTACTATAGGCAGACTATACTGGGGTACATTACTTTGGACCCTCAGGACGTCAAGGAGCTTGGACTCAAGGCGATTCTCAACTTCGCTAAAAGGGCGAGGCTTGTGATCTAAGGATTGTAGAGGTGCATAAGGGCCCGCTTAAGCGGCCTATGCACTGACTCCTTATGGTGGCCGGAATGCCTCTAATTTCAAGATTCATTGATTCATTCAAGGCATTCTTGTTGTCTCTGAAAGTTGTAATAAATTATGGCGGGAAAATGTTCTCGGTTGAGTCCCATTTTTCTAATGACTTGGTGACACTTAAAAATTCACTGTAGTGAGAACACTGCATGTATTGTTGTGAAACTTTGAATTTAAGTTTACTAAAGAGTGAGGTTAAGATTCAGTACTAAGGTTCGATCCGCGCGGCCTACTATATTTCTATATGCGTATTAGCCCGGAATCTGACTATGAAAATGATGCTGTTTATGATAAAACACCAGATTTATCATCTCAGAAACTGATTTAGAAAGCAGTTCAGATATCGAGGGCGATAATGTTCCCTTGTACAAATTGCGATGCAAAGAAGAATACAAATCCACCCTATCTGGAAGAAAGGAAATTTAATATAATCAGACGATGATCTAACATTTTTAGGTTCCTCAGACTTGCCTCCTGAACTGAAATAAGTAGACTCCCCTTACATATTTTTCAAATTAGAAAAGACGAATTGATCAAAGATATAGTCTACCAAAGTATTTCATATTCAGTGCAAAAAGACCATAAAAACCTTTGGATCTTACTGAAAAGGAGCTAGAACAGTTTATTGGTATTTATATGCCAGCCTGCTGGATCTCTTTCTGACCACGCATCCTGCCCCTTACAGCACTGCCGTCCTGTCCCCCCTGGGTAACTCAGATCACGGTGTTGTGGAGGTTAGGTTTCGGTCAGAAGCCGCTGTGGCCGCAGAAACTCGCACAGGCCGCAAAACTTGGCATTACGGACATGCCGACTGGGAGGGGCTCAGAGACTTCTTCTCTAGCTTTCCTTGGAGAGATGTCTGTTTCACTGACGCGGATGCGTCGACTGTCTGTTCTTCAATAACCGAAATTATCCACGTCGGAATGGAGGAATACATCCCTCACACAGTGAAAGTTCCTAAACCAGGGTCCAACGGCTGGTTCAACAAATCGTGTGACACTGCTCGCCAGCAGAAGATCAAGGCACACAGAACCTACTTACAAAACCCCACTGTAGAGAACAGACAAGCCGACGTCGAGTCCAGAAACAAATATAACGAAGCGGTTCGCAATGCCAAAACCCAGCATGATATAAAAGTTAGGCACAGGGTAATGTCGCAGCGCAATGGCAGTCGGTCTTTCTGGACGCTGGCCAAGCAGATTGAAAAGAACTTCTCACACAGTAGCCTTCCACCACTTACGTGTCAGGATGGAACTATTGTATTCGACTCAAAGGCCAAGGCGGAAGTGCTAGCCAAGATCTTTGCTGCCAACTCCACCATGGACGTCCCCACCAACGCCCAAGTGCCGTCAATTCAAAGGGTTCCCCACACTATGCGGGAGGTAACATTCAGGCATAAGACCGTAAGACGAGTGCTCTTGTCGCTCGACATCAACAAAGCTTCTGGTCCGGACTTGATTCCTGCCATTGTACTGAAGAGATGCGCAGCTGAGCTTGCTCCAGTTCTTTCGCGTCTCTTCCAGATATCTTATGAATCCGGCACCTTCCCAGAAAACTGGAAATTTGCTCATGTACAGCCCATCCCAAAAAAAGGATCTAAAACCGACCCTTACAACTACAGGCCTATAGCTCTGCTTTCTGTTATAAGTAAAGTGATGGAGAGGTGCATAAATCGCGAGCTTCTGGACTACCTCGAACGTCACAGCTTGATTAGCGACAGGCAGTACGGTTTCCGGCACCAACGATCCACAGGGGACCTCCTAGCTTACGTCACGCAACTGTGGAGTAAACTCATCCAGTCTCATGGTGAGGCTCATGTCGTTGCTCTTGACATCACGAAAGCGTTCGATCAGCTGTGGCACGCTGCCCTCTTAAGCAAACTTCCATCCTACGGCCTCCCAGAAAAGCTTTGCAGATGGGTGGCTGACTTTATCTCTGGCCGCAAGATATCTGTCGTAATTGACGGATTCTCCTCTTCATCCCACAACGTCAACGCGGGTGTTCCCCAGGGATCGGTCTTGGCTCCAACACTGTTTCTCTTACATATCAACGACCTCCTTTCCTGCACGATCAACCCAATCCACAGCTTCGCTGATGACAGCACTCTACATGCAGGAATTCAGAGTGACAAGCCGATCTCTGCCGCTGAGCTGGAAAAAAGAAGACTAGCGACGACTTCTTCTCTGACAAGAGACCTGGAGGCTATCACTGCTTGGGGACGCAACAATCTTGTACAGTTCAATGCTTCCAAAACACAGTACTGTACTTTGACGAACAAAAAGCGTCCTAGCGCTCATACAGTTTCGATGGACGATCGAGTCCTACCAAAGAGCCATTCATTTTGGCTGGTCGGAGTCCAGATCACCGAGGACCTGATCTGGCACGAACACATCTCTTCAATAGCTGCAGCTGCTGGGAAAAAGCTAGGCTATTTGTTTAGGGCTAAGAAGTACTTTTCTCCGCATGACCTTCTCACTCTATACAAGGCCCAGATAAGGCCTAGCCTCGAGTATTGCTCACACATTTGGGGTGCTGCCGCCCCGACTACATTGTCCATGCTCGATGCTGTCCAGAGGAGGGCGGTCCGACTGATCGATGACTCTTCTCTAACAGACAGTCTCGGGACTCTTTCGCACCGGCGGGCCGTCGGCGATCTAGCTCTTTTCTATCGCTACACCAACGGGCTTTGCTCCTCAGAGCTCTCTTCCATGATGCCGCCGCGCGATGTGCCTGCCAGACAGACCCGCCTGACTTCGGCGTCCCATCCTAACCGTGTCAAACTTCGTACATCCAGAACTGGCCGATACGACCGCTCCTTTGTCCCGAGGGTGTCTAGATTGTGGAACAAACTACGGGAGGAAGCTTTTCCCAGTTCTACTAACCTTAGGCAGTTCAAAAATCGTATTAACAAAATTTCTTTGGGATCATCATAGCAGCCGCGGTGTTCCGGCATTTAGGCTTCTGCCTGCGCGGCTGTTTCGATATATAAAAAAAAAAAAATAGTGCAGTTAATAAATGCAAGTTATTGGAACTTGAACTTTAATCACCGATTGATATCAGATGTTATGTCATGCAACAGATGGGAAGAAATAAAAAGATTTTTACATTTCGCAAATATGTAATAACAACGATATTGCTGTCGGCAATCCTGGACATGGCAGACTTTTCAAAATCCATTACTTAGTAAACTAAGGGATCAGTTTCTCAAAGGTCCAAAAGAATAACATCTTGCCGTAGATTGAGCGCAGATTATTCCTACAAAAGCGCGTTCGACACTCAAACAATATAATCCATAGAAGCCTCATAAATGGGGATATAAATCGTTTGTACTAAGTGGTGTCAGCGGATTTCATATGACTATGAAATATTTGCTGGTAGTCAAACTAATATTCTACCCAATGATTTTCCTGATTTGGGAGTGAGTTCTAATGTAGTACTTGGGCTAACACAAACAGTACCAAGACATATGAATCACAAAATATTTGTTGATAAAACGGTATGTTACCACTAGGAACAGTTAGAATAAAAAGAATGACAAATTCTAATGGGCCAAAAGAGACTAAATTAAAAAAACTGGTCGTGGAGCTATGTTGAAGAAAATCGCCACAGTTGATGGCACCAAACTATCTGTTGTTACATGGTATGAGGACAAGTTAGCGGCTTATCGCCTACTGGAAGTATACCAACAGCCGAGGTCAAGCGATTTTCTAAAAAGGATAAAACACATATGTATAATGATTCCATGTCCAAAATCTAAAGCAATTTACAAGTATGTATATGGGAGCTGTAGATCAACTTGATTCCATGCTGGGATACAATAGGATCAAAATCAGATCGAAAAAATGACCATCAATACATGGATACTATGGAGAAGAAATGACAATGAGTTCAATCATTTAGCTTTGGTAGACTTCAAAATGGCAGTAGCAGAATGCTTTAACCAAGCATATAATAAATCCAATTTTACTAGAAAAAGAGGTCACGTGGAATTAAGGAAAATTCACAAAATAAGACAAGAAGATATTCTAGCAGATGGATATGGTCATCTTCCTATATGGTGTCTTGAAAGGCAACGACGCAAATATCCCTGTGGTGCAAAAACTTACATCAAATACGAAAAAAAAACTGTGCTTAAACAAACGGCAGAAATTGTTTTTACAGGTTTCACACCAAATAATGTTATCATAAATAAATATCTGTCCTTATAATTGAAGTTTAAATTATAAAATATTGTTTTGTTGCATATTGTGCCATATATGGCACACAAAAAAAAACTAACCCAGAATGACTTTTGTTACTGCTCTTTACGTACTTCTGAGTTAATTTTCTTATTCATGAATTTTTACTATAAAAAACACAAAATTATATATCAAATAAGGGGTTAAAACTGAGGTTCTGATCAGAATATCTGCTTAAACTACATATAAATTAAAATGAAATATTAAGTACCAACAATAATATTTTCTCATAAAAATACTCAATTCATTACTTGAACACTATCATCAAACTAAGAAGGTATCCCTAAAAACTATTTAAAATTAGCTTGCCAAAACCTGAATAATTTTGGTTAAACAGCAGTTTAAACCGTCCAACATGGCCTCATTATGAGAGGCCGAATGCACCAGATGCTTTAGAATCCATAATAAAGAAACAAAACAGTTAACCTATTTAAAAACTTGCGTTTTGCTGTGAGCTAGGATTATAATTTTAATGTGGACGACTAATATCAACAAAGTGACTGCGACTTTGAAAGAAAGAATGAATTTATCGTCACATGCAAAAATACGGTTTTTTAATCATTGGGCCTACAAGAGCATGGCCTACCATGGTGCCTCCTTATATACTCTGTTTCTAGGTTTAAAAAAATATATTCTGTAGTAGTTTTCAGATTATAATCCCTGCATTAGGGTATACAGATATACATGCAAATTGACATATTAGCCACTTACGTATGATTGGCATTGAGTAGTGTGTAACAGCAGCATGAGGGCAGTGATTCTGGACCTAAGTTAACCCTTTTGGATACCTCCCTCAGTGCTTTAACTTTCTCTACTTTATCGTTATCTTTTCTGTAAAAAAAAAAGATATTCAGGAAAAAATTTCAAAAAATCATGTTAGCATTTAAGTATGGGGTTTGAAAAATAAATGAGTACTCACAGCTCAGGTACAGGAATTCTATCGACAGGTGGGGCATTTGGATCAGACTTTGTTTTCTTTGAAAATAAAGGATCTTTTTTGGCTTTCTTCTTTTTTGGTTTATCTGGACTGTCCTGATCTGCAGTGTCATCTTCATCTTCGACTGGTGCAGCTAATGTTTGTATATCTGGTGCTTTTGGTATCCCATAAAAGACTTTTGTTTTGTTGTCTGTAAAAATACGAAGCAATAAGTGAAAAAATAGGGGCAAGTGTCCTACCCCCTTCCCTAGAGGGAATACTTGGTCTAATTGGCTTTGAAGTTCCATTATTACCAAGTGTAAATAAGTAAATAGTAGCTTAGGTATCTACCAAGGTGTAGCAAAGCCCAATCACATGTAGCTTGTTCAAAAAGTTTTTATACAGTTCTGTAATGGAGGGTCCTGTAATACCTCATTTTTAAGATGCCTGTGAGTACTTCATAGTCCTAGAATATAAAATCACTATCTTTCAAAATGAGTCTATTGTAAATCAAATGAGTCGTACTTGACAAATACACAACAGAAAGTTAAAATAACCAACAAGAAATTTAAATGTAAATTACCCTCAGCATAGACTAACTTTAACTGAGAAGACTCTGTATTACACATGTCTGAAATTTCTCAACTGCCTGCCAAACACAATAAAATTGATTAACAATGAGAACATTTGTAAATGGAAGGGAAGACACTTAGTTAATATACAGCCATATAGTGTAAAAGACCATGTATGTCAGAGACATTCTATTTATATCTTACCTATATTTCTTATTTACTCATAGGGAGCTTCAACATGTGGTATCACACAAACTCCCTTCTATTTAAAAAAGGTTTAAACCACCATCCTGAAACCGTCAATCGCCACTTTTATGATAAAATATAGTATTCATGGATCAACTTCATTACACCAAATTTTAGCTTACTAACTTGGTATGTCCAAAAAAATGAGCAGGAGATCTTCTCATGGAATTGAAGCCTTTACATATTTGAAATTTTGATGGATAAACAAGTTTTTGGTTAGTCTGGTCCCTCTCCATTTGCCTAAATTACATTTCTCCTTTGAAACACATTTTCAAGTTTGAAAAAGATAATGAAAATTCTAATGAAGAGAAATGGACCCCTCAGAATGACTAAACTAGAGATTCATTTAAAAATAAAAAAAATGGGATAGAAGGCAGGGAGCAGAAAAAGGAGTGTATGTCTGAGATTTTTGTTACTAAAGAAGAACTATATATATGTTTTAAATATATCCTGTATCCTTGTTAGAATGAAATGTTGATTGATTACAGGAAATTTTTACAGGGGGTCAGATTTTGCCACCTATTTTTCAAATCAGATTAAGGTTTTTGGTAATTACTTTTTGTAGTAGTATTTTTAAACTAAGATTAATACACATGTACAATTTTGGGCACATTGCTCTAATCAATTATAGGAGTAATTGGTACCCTGAGGTCTGCAAATTCAGATTAAAATACCTGGAGCTAGTTAGCAATTTTATGTTGTTTCTAGGTGCTTTAAAAAAACTGCAATAAATTTACCTTGTCTTTTGGCCTCTCCACCAATAGCCCCAGAAGTTGCAAAAATCTGACTCTTACTTCTAGCTACCCCTTCATACATATCAAAATACAAATGCTCTTGTATGATATTTATCAAAACAGAAATCTTTTTATCATTGAGATGTCTTTTAAGCAGAGATAATGTATCTCTAGACATTCTGATTATAAACTGATTTGACTTGAACGTTTCTGTTAGTTCATTCCCATTCATATGTTCTCTTTTTGTCACTATAGCAAGTTTCTTCAAATCATCTTGATAATAAGGTTCTTGCTCTGGTGCAAATTTTTTCATTAATGCAATAGCTTGTTCTGAGTGACCATTATAGACAAGCTCTAGATACATGTGTACCAAAACAGGAAACAATATTGTACCAAGTTCATGTTTATAGATATCGAGGGAGTTTTCCACAAATCGTTTAAGTTCTGTATAAGCTGCCTCATATGTTTCAGGGTCCCCATCACTTTTGTAGCCAGTTAGCTCGCTACCTACATCAGACTCTTGTGGTAAGCCGTCGAGGTTTTCTGTTAAATTGGCCTCCTTGCGCAGAGACTCCTCAGTGCTCTATAAAAAATACATGTATTAAATAATGAAGGTGCTGTTAATTTTGAGTGTTACCCTCAAGTTATATTTTTTCAATAGCTGTAATACGATAGCTAGTTGAGATTTGTCCATTTCTATTTAAATTATCTTCACGTACAATAGCATAAAAATTACTAATACTAAGCTATTTTCAATATTTACAATAGTTGGCATCGCAAAATATGTCACAGCTGACATGCAACTGACATACGATCAACGATTCCAGCCATACGAAAAAGAGGCGGTGCCAACCGTCACATTGAAAGAATATCTTTTAGCTTGGCTGACCAGGATCATTTCCAACAGCAACTATTCTAACAAAAACTTTTCAGGGGTATGTAACTTGAAAAGTGTCACTATGTTATTTTTTTGAGTTTACGTAGATTTTTTATGATATTAATTAGGATTACCCAGATTATACGTCAACTTGGAACTAGCTGTTGTTCAGTTCATGCTCACTTGTAGCAGGAATGAACAACTCACACACTCTCCTACCTAGTCAACAAATTGACATAATCGGTTTTTTGACATTATGTCGGTTTTTTCGGTAATAAGCTGGCTGACAAGACATATTTGCCACATTTCTTTATTAGGTTGAAAATCCCAGTAGTGACACCACGCCTCTTTTCCTAGTTGGCTGTTTGGTATCAGTTTGCGACATCTAACTTGGATACTCCAAGCTCGAAGTATACTCATAGTTATAAATGAAATTCAAGCGGATATAGTGGATACCAAATAAAATCCGATGCACGTCATAGGTGATGTCATTCATAAAAATCATGGTTACCAACAGTTGACTACATTCAATGTGACATTTCTACTTGAAGTTTAAATTTCCCCGTCTCGATTCGGTTGGTAGTGCCGTGCAGAGAAATGTGAGGTTGCCACTTCTCATTTGTTGACATCAGTTGCCATTGTCCTTTTGTCGTACTATTAGTTCTTTATTGTTTAGTTTGTGAGTTTTGCGCTATTTGAGCTTTGAATCGTTGCCTTGCCAATTAAAAGTTGTTCTTTTCAGAACAAAAGTTACTGTGAAGTGGTATAAAGTATCCAAAATGCCAAAACAACTTAACAGTCGGTGTAAAGAGCTCATATCAATTCTGGCAACAGCGCACAGCTCCAGATCGATGACGTGCATCGGGTTTTATTTGGTATCCACTATAACCAAATGGAAATGGTATACGCTCCATTAGTCTGACGTCACTAAGTGAGGTAGGTCAGGTGTCTGAATCTAAACAAAGGAAGTCGCTATTAGAGCTAGTCAGTGGCTATTTTATTTGCATCTTTTCTGCTGTGATTTGATCATTTTAAACGAAATTAACTTCTGAAAGTAAGTATTTGGTTCATTATTCAAACAAAGCATGAAAAAATATCACGTACAATTAATAAATGACAATCTAATTTTAGCGACGAAATTATTATAGGTTATGTTGTAATAGTATAATAAAGCTAATTTGTATCTTTCTTCCATAACTTATTGCACAATTTCAAAAATATACGATCCGTAACTAATACGAGCTTATTTTCAGTGTCCTCGAAACGTGTTATTTCGTTTTCGGCAATAGGAGAATTTTTCAAGGATGATATATCCCAGCTTCAACGTGGTGAAAATGCTTTTGAAAGTGGGAATGTCCACAAAATGCTATTTGATGCAGAAGTTTCTCCAGCACTATTAAGGGGAGAAGTCGCCGCAAGTATGAAGAAAAAAATGTATGCTGTGGAGGTAATACTAATTGATTTATATGAATGTTTATTTTTATATTAATGAATGCTCATATTTCAGATTTCATATGATCTTGATGATGGGATTGTCTGTGCTAAATGCTCCTGTCCAAGAGGTCTAGCAGTTTGTCACCACATGGCTGCTCTTTGCATCCATGCTCACCATAACATAAGCGTGACAGATAAGACATGTTTATGGAGTAAACGGAAGCCAGCAGAAACTGAACAGGTCACAAAAATTAGTGATATCTACAAGCCTAAATATTCAGGTTTCAAAGCTGCTCAAAGAAGTGCAACTGAATCTGAGATTGTAACATTGATTCAATCAATAGGTGATGCTACACCTGTAGGATTTACGTGGTGGTTGTTGCCAGAGCCTTCAGTAGACCTCATGTTGTTACCAGACATTGAGGCAATAATTTTTTCCAACGAGTATACAACAGCTCCCAATAAAGAAGACTACTTTTTACAGAAATGTTGTGTGAGTGAGAGCATAATAAAGAAAGTTGCAGAGATGACTATTGGTCAGTCAAACAATGCTAATTGGCTAATGGCTAGAAAGTACAGACTGACATCCAGCAAGTTTGGTGCAGTTTTATCAGCTTGCCAAAAGAAGAAGTACCCAAAATCATTATTCAAAGGGTTATTAGAAGGATACGATTTGAGTGGAGTTCGGACTGTTCAGTGGGGAAGGGAAAATGAACAAAGCGCCATAGAAAAATTTCAGGAAATCACAGGATTACATGTAGAACCAGCAGGATTCTGCCTTGATGAATGTGGTTTTTTAGGTGCAAGCCCTGATGGCTATATAAGTGAAAATTGCATTATTGAAGTGAAATGTCCTTTCAAACATAGGAATGCAGAAAAACTGTCAGAGGTGCTCACCAGTAATGAAAATTATGTTGTTTTTTATGATAACTCTTCCTGGACCATTAATGAAAATCATATTTATTATCACCAAGTACAGGGACAGTTATACATCACAAATAAAGATATGTGTTATCTAGTAATATGGATTCCAAAAGATACTATAATTATGAGAATTTCAAGAAATGATGAATGGAAAAATAATATAAATACTTTAAAATCGTTTTACTGTCAACAATTTCTGGCGAATATTTTATTATGATTGGGTAATAAAACAATATTTATGCAACTGATGTTTTATTTTACATATTTTACAGACATTATCTTCTCTACCAGCTGTCAAATTATTTTAATTTTGAATTAGGAAATTGTATAGTATTATACCCTCTGTTTGCACATAAAAGATGTTTGATTAGGTAGCTAGTAGAGAAGATGAATTATAAAGTACAAAGCAGTTGAAAAATTACATTTCAAATACAGTGATCATAGAATAAATACAGTGGTTTTTTAATACAACAATATGTATAGGATACAAAATCCAAAATAAACTTTCTAAAACATCTCTGAACATTTCTTAGAGCAAAAAGCTCAACATATTCATGTAGAGACTGGATGGTTTTGGTGGATCTCTTTAACTCTAGTCATTGGCATGTAGTGTAAAACAAAAGATATATTTCATTAAAAGTTGTCAATGAGAATACTAGTCATATAGCAGCAGTTTAGATTTTTATGGGTTATTGAATTATTTCTATGATTCTTGTAATGTCTTACCGATATATGAATGAAAATGTGCAGGACAGTTATATTATTTATTGCTAATTTATGTTGTGCTCTCTTATTATATATACTATAAACCAGATGCAAAACTATAGCTTATGGACACCTTCAGAATAAAACTGTTCAACTTCTCTTATAAGTGGGTACTATAGGTTTGTCAAAGCACCTATAACTTGGAATACTATATCTGCATGTGGCAACAAAGCATATGGAATGAAATCTAAGATATTGAATGTTTTTAACCTTCTTATTGCACGTTCAACATGAATCCTAGCTCGTGCAATACATTCTGTTCAGCAGTAAATTGACTTGTTGTAAGAAATGGTGGAATGTTAATACTGACACCAGAAGGCATTAAATCTTTTATTAAAAAACCTTTGTCTGCCAATACTAAATCTCCTGCTTCAAGCTGATCAAGTACTCCACAATCCTTGACAATTTTTTTGTCTGAGGTTGACCCAGGATACAAACTGGACATATAAGTAACTGCCCCATTTGGAGCTACACCAACTAACCCTTTGCAAGTATTTCTATGTTTGTATGAGCTATATGTTAATTTTTGTGAGCCATACTTGACCTACATACAGATGTATATACTTCAGTACAATCTATGATTATTCTACAGTTTGTGAAACTACTGAAACAATTTGGCAAGCAAAGTTTGTTTTTATTTCTAGAAGGAATTTTTGCCATCATTTGTTTGAAAAGGATTTCATGGAGTAAATGTATCCATGTTGTAATAACATTTGATACTGTACCCTGAGATACATTGAAACGAACAGCTAAGTCATCATGGGGAAAATTTTGTCTTAACTTAATCAGAGTCATGAATAACTGATCTATTTTTCTCATCTTTTTAACCGTCCATTTATAATAATAGTTGATTTCAATGTCCTTTAACAGGTTGTATAAAGACAAAAAAATTTTCTCTGTGGGTAAGCCTGTATACAGCAGGATTAGCCTATCATTTCCTCTCACAACATCAAAAGAAAACCTATCTGTGAGATGCATAAGGTTCTTTGTAGCTTGCCCCAGATCTTGCCTCAGATAATAGTTTTCAGCATCTAGTGATGCATTTGACATTGAACTTTCTGCACGAGGTTCATCAATTTGTGCTGAGGTGGATGGCTGCGACTCACTTTCAGATCTGTGAACACAATGCATTTGCAGATACTTGTATGAAATTGATATTGTAGGACTAACCTTATATCTACATTGATATTAATAGATTGATCAGCTGCCTTTTTACGGGTTCTTCTTTCTGGTGATGGAAAGTTCAATTGCTTCTCTTTATTATATGTAAATAATGTAGGCCCATTTTCTTTCTTCCCATCCACAAAATGACAACTACATAAGTAAGCACCAGGACCTGGTTCAACTGTTCTCCTGCAATCAAATGAAACATACACATATATGAATGTTGTTGTCCTCAACTAACTTTCCAATGTCCCCGAAAAATATACATAATTCCAGTATGGTCTTTGTGGCGTTACCTTGTAAGTTTTATCCAGCGATTCCTTGTTTTTGGATCTTTAGGAAATCTGAACATCTTACATGTTTCTCTAACATTATAGTGCTTACAGTCGGGTGCCCAGCACTGCACCATTTTCTGTAACAAATAACAACCATCAGAGAAAAAGTAGTGTTTGAAAATATCCTATTCAAAGAAATTTCAAAAGTTAGGTTAAGTGAGTAACAATATCTAAATATAACATATTTTATAAGGAAAATACTTATATATTCAGCGGATCACCTAGTTATATACGGACTTGTAAACTAGCAACCTTATTTCCAACAAAAACAGTTTCAAAACTCCACTTTAACCACTTGATCCGAGAAGAAGAAATGTCAAAATACTTGTTTAGATTCAGTGCCATAACCTAACCCAATATGTGACGTCATTGCTAATGAAGCGTATTTACCATTTTGGCTTGGTATTTACCAATCCGTTCAAGCGAGTGTAGTTATCAGTTTGGTTATAAGATCCGTGACGTCACGAATTAGCTGTTATATGTCATAGTTATCACCCGCAAAATTGTGGTATTTGCCCAACTCAAGAGCAATTTTATATTACTGGTTATTATTTGGAAAGTGACAAGTTAGAATTTTGCCGGGTATTGGATATTGTTATTGTACTTCAGCTTCATTTTTGAGAAAATTGATACAGGCTGACTTCAGTTTTACCATTACGGTTGTTGGGGACACTTTAAATGTAGTTAATCCTATGCTTAACAAAGTATCCTGTGTAGCCATATGCCACAAGAATATTAAAATATGGCCATATAAACTCACTAGATGATACGGTTTTGCTAATTTCTTTTTTCATCATTTGTGCTGAATCAATAAATGTTTTCTTTGACATAGGGAAAAATTTAGAGAATTGAAAGTTATCATAGCTACAAAGCCATTGTTCCATCAAAATCAAATAAAAAATCTGAAAAAAACATTTCTCCCATGAATATTATGAAAGGTTTCTTATTTAAACTTTCCATATATACAGTTGTAGACGAAAAAGCACCGATTATTAAGTGATAATAAAAATAATCAGAGATTATATACGCGCTTTTCTAAAATAAACAACTTGCAACAAAACCGCGGTTAACACCAACGCGTTCAAGCGATTCGTGTAACTGACGTCATCAACCCGTGTGTCATCTTAAACCATATTATAACCGCGGCACATAACACAGAAATTTTGGTTATTCGCTTGGATTTGATTATAGTGGCTGTTAGATTTCGTAATTCGTATTTTATTTTGCTACTGCTTTTTGAAAACTTCCCAAAACAATCAGTTGCATCAGCTGCAAGGCTGGCTACATACAGTCTGTAAGTGAATCAGCCGGCTCAGGGCACAGTTGAGGGGCGCAAAATTCTCAATCGTCTGATTCAGGGGGGTTGTGTCCCCCCACTGAACGAATCGAGGCCGACCAGCCAGCCCCTACTCCGCTATTCATTTCAAAAGCGATTAGCTCTAAAGAAGCACTGACGCAGCTGAGTCGCCACCCCCAGTCCGCGCTTGAACCTTTACAACTGAAGGAAAAATTCTACAAAATGAACGATGAAACAATTTTTTCGAAAAATAATATCAGATGTCTTCAGCTCCTTGACTTTGTCTGGTTTCTGGGCAACCAGGACTGACAGATTCGACTAACGTACATCAGACAGTGACTAATGGGCAAAGGTCCTACGGACCGCCCAGACAAACAAATGACGAATAGTTAGTTAGATGTCTTCAGCGACCAATACCTAGTCTGTCAGAAGCCTCAGAAATGTCGAAAAACGAAGTTTGTTCGTTTTTTGTTTGTTTTTCGACGGTAACTCCGCCACCACTGTACTGATTTTCAAAACCTGCAGAGCTTTTTCGTCATTTTCATAATGGTTTTCGTTATGAAATGCAAGTTAATATATTTCTCTACTAGTCTTGCATTGCAACAGGACATTATAATGAAACAACTGTAAGCACTTTATAATTATATTTACTAAAATACATATCCTTAGGCCAGCCATAACTCACCTGCGAAACGTACAAAATATTAGCAATACGAAAAAGTGTTGTTATGGCAGCCTATGCTTTATATGTATACTATTTAATTCATTATCGTCAAAAGTTAGTTACGGAATATACATTATTATGAATAGGTAGGTATTCAGATCAAAATACTTTCCACATACCACTGTTTCACCACAATCACAGTAAACAAGTAAATAATGTTTTTCGCCGCTATACTGGTTCTAGCACATGATATCTCGTGTGGGAGCGTAACGAACCATGCTTCCAACGTTGTAACGCCCGTTTGGCGAGGGTCAAATTTACCGACAAAAGCCCGAACGTGTCATGTGGCGAACGTTGGACACATGCAATCCGTCAGCGCTCTCCCACACGATGTGGCGAATGGCCATGTGTCCAACGTTGTAAGAAATTCATCACATCGTGTGGGACCGGCTTAACACAAATGCGGCACTGGAAATCAGCTCTTGTATCACCTGTTTTCGGATTCAGCTTTAAAGTTACAAAATTGCCTTGGCAACTCTGTTGATCACTACGAGTGTGTATCGAATATGCGGAAGCATGTGGAAGTAATAGTAGTCGATGGTAATAGTAAACGTCAAAATTCAAATTCAAACGCTTTGGCGATTGTCGGTTGGTTGTTGTCACTGACGGATATTCAACGGTTTTCTTTTGCATCTCCATTTAGCAATTTTAACTGTGATTTCAACTCTGCCACTAAGTGTAGAATTTCATATATTGTGTTTATTTGCTCGTTTGTCTCTTAACTTTTATTAGTGTTAATTTGATAGGCGGTATTTTGAAACATGGCATCATCATCATCACCTTCATCCCCGCTGGAGTCTCACTCTCGCTCGTTTGAAGATTTACCAGTTCTGAACGAAGATATGTATGTCTATCTTTTATTAATCCTGATACTTTATCTTATCACAGATTTGTCCTAAAATATTCGTGAATTGTTGGGTATGATTTCTCGTAACAAACAGGAATGAATTCGTATACATAGGTCCTATGTCGTTAAAGTGGATTCTTGTTTCGAACGCCCTGAGACGCGGTTGGTTTAGATGGTAAAGTATTTCAAGTGACCATAAAAGCAGCTGCAGCTACTGTCTTTGATAATAGAAGTTACACAGGTTTGGTGTGAATAAATAATAACAGTTATGAATAATATGAATAAAGACTTTTCTAATTTTCTTGAAAACGAATTGACCGATTTTAAAAATCAGACGTCAAAATAAAGGACTTTGAAAGACCTTCAAACAAGCTATTACTCGATACCTGTTGTCATTTAAAATTTTTAAGGGAATGACCCTGGGAGCCTAGGGTGAAAGGGGATGAAGTAGTTTTTGGTTAAAAGGTTGTCCCCCCATGACAAATCTGTTAACGTGTCTCGACGTTTTCTCTTTTCATGGGTGGTTTCCGAGAAATCTGTGGTGAGAGATTTTCAAATGAACACCCCATATAAAATAAGTGGTCATTCATTCTGCAATCAACATTTTTTGTGTTACTATACCATCTTCAAAGCACATTCTCAATAATTCATTCCTTTTACTGGGAGATTCAATATTTTTTAGTAAATGTGCCATTATATTCAACAATTCCTGTCAATGATGAACCGAACGTAATTAAAAATAAGATAAATCGTAAGCTTATAGCCTTATAACAGAAAAAACAAATCTACATTATTTATATTTCAATTTTAACTTTTATGTTTTCAGTTTAAGTAGCAACAAATTATTAGAAGATGCTTACAAAACATTGCAAGAACGTTTAAAAAAAGGCTATTTAAACTATGCTCAAATTATACTCGATGTGACTGATGATAGGAGAGAAATAAGAAAGTATTTGAAGATCTTTGAAGACACAAGTGATGACACTTATATGGACCTTATCAAAGACATCAGTGAGTTGCGGGACAAATGCTATGTCAAATTTGAAGAATCTCTAAAAAAAATTGAAGAGATCTGCAAATCATTGCAGATGCAAATACCTTCATTTGGAATGAATCAACTGTGCATGAGGCAGAAGTATCTGCAGCTTGAAAAACAGCTAAAGGAGTAAGTTTCTTGATTTCTCCACTTCTAGGGATGCACTTGGGAGTACTCAGTCTATACCAACTTCTTGGCCCAGACTACCGAGTATCTGGTTTCAACAGTTATTAAATTACTCGGCCTGTAATTACTTGATATCTTAAGTCAAAGAATTTCAGATGTGATGTGAAACCATTTTGTCACATTGCTTCTTTGCATTTTGATTTGGTCTTTTAACTTATAAACCTTTAACTTGTAAGGATAATTTAGGTTTAGTTGTTCCGAAATCTGAATTGGTTTGCCACCACTTTGATATACAAACCAAAGGCAGCCCAGAAACCTACAGAATTTAAACTCTGTGTTTGTGGTAGCATTAATATGACAGGGATTCTAGTAGATAATGTTTCTAAATTTGAGCATGAGGCCAGCCATTACCTACCTGCAACAAAAATGTAGGTTTAGGAGGTCGAGCATATACCTTGAGATTGTCTTAAAAATGCTTGTTTTGAAAACATATATATGTATATATATATGGGTGTCCGCAAAGTTGGGGTTTTTTTTTTCACGACATGTAGATTTAAAATAAACGGATTTTCTTAGTAGCATATACACCAATGTCTTTAGAGAACCGAGATAAACCTGAACCAAACCGAAGCTGGTCCTGTCCTATACCTCGATCACGTCGCTAGCGCCAGCGTACAGTTATACGACGTACGAATACGATGTAAATACGGATTTTACGACAGATCCGTACTTATAATTTCAATTCAACTGAACAGTGAGTACTTTTTCATTTATTTTTTTTACTTGTTCGCTCAGGTTTCACCACAGATTAGCTTTGTTATATCAAGCATAGTTGTGTCCGTAAAGAAAACCCCAACTTTGCGGACACCCTGTATGTATATATATATAAATAAAAAGAAAATGATCATGTGAGAAAGGTATATAACAAAAAGTAGGAAAATAATGGGCAAAATCCGCAAAAAGGAGGAAAGTGGATTTGAGCAGAAAATAGGATAGGTAACCCGAGCTCTACGTATTTCTGCTGGTTGGCTTCATCAGGCCCGAAATGAATGCACATTTGCAACTACAAAAGTAGTTCTCGTTTCCTCAGGTTACACCCGTATCGGGATGTGTGGGCATGTGTATCTACTTTTGTAGTTGCATATGTGCATTCATTTCGGGCCTGATGAAGCCAACCAGCAGAAATACGTATCTCTCGGGTTATATATATATATAAACAAATACATTTTGGGAAAATCTATTTATGGGATGTTATACATGACATTTGAGGGCATATTTCTAAAATATTGGCCATTTTACAGGGTGTCCCAATTTTGACCTACATATCAAAGTTGTGATTTTTCAAAGGAATGCCTCAAATTTTATTGCATATTTGGATAAACCAATTCAAAAGAAGAAAATTGATACATACTATGGGGTTTTGGTAATTGGCTACTGAGATATAAGGTGTTTTGTCTAGAAAAACCAACCACTCCGCCATTTTGAAATTTGGGGTGCTGAATTTTGTATTTAAAAAAAACTTACACACCTCAGCTTTTATCTTATTTGTTACTTTTTCGAATTTTAATTTTTGCTCATACAGGGTGGTCAAAAACGCAAATTGTAGTTTTTCTCAAAAATTTCAATTGCATCTTGTATATTTGTGCAAGTTTGGAATCAATTTTTTATAAGCTTTTTTTTTGATACTAGACACAAGGGTTTTTACGGCTATTTTTTTAGTTATTAGTCTTTTATGGAACGGCTTAATTCCCTAAAATATCGCATCATCCTTGGAAACAAATAAATTGTTGATTAGTTACAAACTGTCAAAATTAGCTTTGTGAGCATTATAATAAAACGTGTTTGAAAATGAATTTTTCTAAAGAAGAAATGGTGAATATGGTGTTCGTTTTGGGCGAATCCCAAAGAAATAGATTCCTAGCATCTCGCATTTATAGGCAACGTTACGCTAATATGCGACATCCAAAGCCGGAAACATTTGCCACACTACGAGAACGTTTTGAATCAAGTGGAGCAGTGGAATATAGTAAAAAATGTATAAATGATACAAGTGTCACCAATGAGGCTAATCAGTTGGAGGTTCTATTAAAGTTGCAGGAAAATCCCATTTAATTGCACGGCAAATTGGAGCAGAAACTGATATATGCAGAACTTCTGTCCAACGGATTATTCGCAAGCATAGGTACCATCCATATCACCTATGCTTGCATCAAGGCCTTCGTCCTCAGGATTTCGCAGCTCGAATGGAGTTTAGTAGAATAATGCTAAATAAAGTGAGTGAAGACATTACTTTCCTGGATAAAGTATTTTTTAGCAATGAGGCAACTTTTAACAGCATACGTGTTAACAGGCATAACATGCTCTATTATGTGATGGAAAACCCTTACTGGGTTAGGCAAATAGATTTCCAAACTAAATGGAGCTTGAATGTTTGGGGAGGAGTTATTGACAGACAAGTTATCGGGCCTTTCTTTTTCAATAACAGATTAACAGGTACAGAATACTTGAATTTTCTGATCGAGCATTTGCCTTTGCTTTTGGAGGATGCATAACTATTTGGACACCTGGAGTAACAATCGTTGGAGCGGTCGTGATGGGCCTATATCTTGGCTTCCTAGATCACCAGATATGACACCGATGAACTTCTTTCTATGGGGCTATGTTGAGCAAGAGGTTTATAGATATGCACCATCGACCCCGGAAAATATAAAGGAAAGGATTAAGGATGCTTTTCTGAACATAAGGGAATACACCCGCTGAGGGATGTGCAATGGTAATTTATCCAAAGACTAGGGCTGTGTATTCAGCATAGTGGAGGTATTTTCAAGCAGTTTTTCTAGATTAGTTCTTAAGTAGTGATAGTTGTTTGTTTATGTTGTTGTTATAGTTGTTTTTCTCTATTACGCCTGAAGCTGATTTATACTGTTCTGATTATTAGTTTTTACGCCAAATCTGTACTCTTAGGCCCGTATCGTCAGTCGTCCCTACAATTGTAGGGCGCGTTTATGGCCTCCTTGATTGTCATAGTTTTCTACTTCTCCGTGTCAGAACTCTATTTTGAGGTTATGTCACAAACATCTATTTGCATCAAATTGTGCTTGCTTTTGAGTTATATCATGTTTTATCAGCCTGAAATTTCCTACAATTTAATAAGAAAACATATCTTCACAATAGGGGAGCGCTGGCGCTGACACGGGACAAGTGTAATCTAGAAATTTTTGAAGGAGAGAAAGGAGTATGACAATCAAGGAGGCCATAAACGCGCCCTACAATTGTAGGGACGGCTGACGATACGGACCTTAGTGACAATATGGAACTAACCCACTGTTGGTCTTTTGTTTCCATGGATCATGTGATTTTTTTCCTTAATTTTGGTGTGTTGTTCTATTAAAAGCTTATTAACTCAAAATCTAGTGTCATTATACCAAAAAAAAGCTTTTACAAAATTGAATCCAAACGTGCACATATATAAAGGGTAATGCATTTGAAATTTTTGACCACCCTGTATGAGGCCGTTTTAGTAAGAACTTTTTTTCTGCAAGCCTCTACGATCGATAGGTTCTCATATACAGTACCTCGCATTCTTAGTTGTCCACCCTGTACTTGGTCCGAATTTATCAAGAAAATTGTGGATGCAGGTTGATGTTTAAAAAATGGTACATGCAGACTTAAGTAGATTGACTCAAAACTTCATAGACACTCGCTTATTGACGTGGTAGGTAAACATTTTTTTTCTGTTCAGTTATGAGCAAATGTACAATACAAGGATTGAAGAAATAAATACCCTCAGAGAGAAGCAACTGGACCTGTGCAAAAGTCTTGGGATTGAACCCAAAATAATAAAAGAATCTCCTTTGCCTTCTGCTGCAGAGATTGCGGAGCTCAAGGTGTATTTAGAAGATTTGGAAAACGAAAGGTATGCAGGTATTCTAGAGTAAGATTCCAGGGCTGCCAAACATTGCTTCTATTCTAAAAGACAAAACAGGGTTCATTGAATATGTACTTTCAACGCCTGTGTACCTGCTAAGTTGGGTACAAGGCCGATTTGCTGGTACCAGGTGATAAAGGTTAAGTAAAAATAGCACTAACGTTTCTTGAATTCTGATGGCTGATTTTTATTTGTATACTTTGTAAAACAGTATTACAAGATAACATTCAGCAATACCAGACACTTCTGCTGGCCATAAATTCTGCCAGACGCCTTGACCAAGGTGCCCTGCTATAAATTGACCTCTAACTTGTTTCTGTGACAGCTTAGCAATAAAGTTTGTTTCCACAATGTCACAAAAAGTTCCATCAATATCTTATAAAATGCTACACTATTCGATAGCATTAACACCCTGTATAGAAAAAAGCCATTGCATGAACATTTTTAAAAGAGACTAATATTTATATAAAACATTTTCTTCTAAATGCCCATACAAAAAAGTTAGAGGGTTAGAGGGAATCGTTTGACCGAAGTTATAGCCAACATAAAGTATCTGGCAGTGCTGAATATTACTTTGTAATTATAGTCAAGAAAGTACATATTAAAATGGACCATCAGAATTTAAGTAGTCTTAAGCCGCGTACAGACCGAGATTCCAACGCAAGCCAAGGCACATGTGGTTACAGATTTGGAGGTGTTCGAATCGGTGTGTACGGCGCGAGCCAACATAAGCCCAAGGTCGGCGTTGGCGTTCGCTCCTTGATCGGTACATCAAAGGGAGGTTTGATTTGGTCTGGACAGGATTTGCTGCGCTTTTAGTATTTAGTCATATGTCTGCATACGATGAGAGGAGACTCGTCGCTCGTCATTAGCACCAAAGTTAACCCAACGCGGTCCAACTCGAAACTAAATTTAGGGGCTTCGTACACAAGGCTACGCAAGTCTCCGATACTAATGTTCTTTACTACATTAGTATCCAGTCGCGAGTATCGAGTAGCGCACGGTCCGTACACACGACATTGAATCGCAAGACGCGAATTGCCTATTCAGCCACTATAGGCTAAACAGATCACACTTTTACGAAAATGTCTGAAACAAGTGATGATGAAACTATAATTTTGTACTATTTTTATCGGAAACAAAGAAATCGTCGTAACAGAAGATACTGGTTCATCCGTATATAGAGAGAAACATAAAGTGCAGACTGTTTGTAGCTGCAAAAGAATTACAACAAACAGATGCGAAATTCTTATCATTGTACAGGATGTCCAAAGAGAGTTATACACATTTAGTGGAGTTACTTGTTCCACATATACACCAGAGAGATACACACATGAGAGAGTCTGTGAGCGCAGAGGAAAGGATTCTAATAACAATCAGGTATGATTTCAATTTGTTTTATTAAATATTAACATTTCAAAGTAAGATTGAATTTTAATTATATATAACGGAACGGAACCCCTCAGAAGTCTGCACGAAATCTTAACTGCGTCATCAATTCTGAGTATAATTTAATTCACCTACAGTATTTTGGAGTAGTTGAATATATGTAGCTGCATTTACTCCATCGTCGGTTGTATATTCGATTATATCATTATTGGTTTCTATTGGTAATTCTATGTCAGTTGTTACCTGCGAGGACGATTTACTTGGGTGTTGTATTTCGGGTCCTACAAACGGAGATGTCTGCGAAGATAATATACTTGAAGTATTTGGTATATGAACTAAGGCCGGCACCGGCGTTTGCTTAGATGAAGTGGTAGGTACATTCAGTATGTTATCTATCACATCTATAACTTGACGTTTGAATGATCTTATTTGTGTGGATGTCATAGAATTTAAGTCTGGCAGCAAACTTAACAAAAACATCTTGTTGGCGTTATTCTTTGTCGACTCGTCATTGACATTTGGCTTGCTCATTTTCGTTTTCAAATATTCATTGAAGAGTTCATCATTCTCATTCGTTCTATCTTATGACGCTGAGAGGAACTACGCCAAGTTGAGACAGATAACGGGGTTGGAGTACGTCAGTTTGTTGACTGGAGGATGCAGTAGGTGATGTCGGGGGCGGTGGTGAAGCCGAGGGCGATGGTGATACGGAGGACGGTGGTGATGCCGAGGGCGGTGGTGATGCGGTCGGTGTAGATGCTTGTGATTCATTGTCTTGATTAATCGGATTAGGCAAACTGCCAGATGGAATTGCAGCAGATTTTATATAAGGAAGAGCAAACTGCATTGATCTGTCAAATAGTATTTCTTTTTTGTTGATGATCCACTAGCAGCAGGTTTTAAGTTTCGTACGAATACAGAACGGAGGTTTTTCCATTTGTCTTTCGATTGCAGTCCTGAAAGTAATAAAAATATGTCAAGCAACTGTTAACATTAAGTTCACCGTTGTAATACTATGTACAAGATGTTAAATAAATAAGTATTAATACAACTTTTTTTAGGTATTTGGCAACTGGCGCAACATTCACATCGATTTCATTATATTTTGCTCGAGGAGACTCTACAGTATCAAGAATAATTGGAGAAATAACAGCAATCATATGGGATGCCTTGAAAGATATTTATATGCCAACACCGGATAAAAATCAATGGAAAATAATAGCACAACGTTTTCATTTACTATGGAATTTGCCTAATTGTTTGGGTGCTCTAGATGGAAAGCACATAGGAATAGAAAAGCTACCAACTCAGGATCGCTTAACTTCAACTACAAGTCGTATCATTCAATTGTTCTCATGGCATGCAGTGACGCTGATGTCCTCTTTACATACATCGAAACAGGATTTGCTGGCAGGAACAGTGATGGTGGTATATTTCGTGCTTCAGCAATCAAACATTTCATTGAAGGGGACAATCTTGATCTTCCTACTCCTTTACGATTACCCAATGATGACAACAACTACAAGTTTCCTTTTTACTTTGTCGGAGATGAAGCGTTTCCGCTATTGCATTATTTGCTACGGCCATATCCACAAAGAGTACTTGATAATACGAAAAGAATCTTTAACTATAGATTGAGTAGAGGAAGGAAGACTGTAGAATGCGCTTTTGGGATGATGACGGAAAAATTTCAGGTTCTAAGCACTGCGATAAGATGCCACGACAATATAAAGATTAATAATATTGTAAAATCAGTATGTATTTTACACAACTATTTTAGGAAAAGAGAAGGGCTTCCATATCGTGCGTATGAAGAAAATTCCAATAGTACACATGGTATAATACAACCTCAGCAAATTCAATTGAATGCGCAATCTTCTCCAAATACGTTAAGAAACTATTTAGCTAACTACTTTCTTAAACCTCAGGTAGCACTCCCATGGCAATATAATTGTATTGTATAAATTTTGTTAGTCTGTTTAAATAACAAAATTCTGTAAATGCAAATAAATATTTTACTGGACCACACACCATTAAGTACTGTAGCAAGTTCTATTTTCTAATTTTAACTATTAATTTAACATCAGATATTCCCTGTGTTCTGTTTATGGTTTAGTGGATACGGATATCTGGTACATTACTAGTTAGTAGCTAATCATGATCCTAGATCACAATAACATGGGTAATCCGGCGGGTTACATCGGCTATCATAATAAAATGTACACAAAATATCGTGTATATGCGTAAAAAAATCTTAATAAAAAACATACTGCCAAATGTGTTTTTTCTTTACTAAATTACTATGTTTAATACTATAAAATCTACCAACCTGTTAAATTAACGGCCCTTCCTACTGATACCCACGCTTTTTCTGCAATATCCTTTCTAGAATATTCTTTTATTTTATAGTTGTATAAACAGGGATACTTCTCCACCTCCGAAACAAATTTAATATTTAATAACTGCTCCGCCATCCTGGAAATCGCTGCGACTTATGTAGCGAAGATCTTGTCCGGCAGGTAGCACACGACTGGCACGATGCGAGTCGCGAGACGAATGTCGGCGACGCGACTCGTGTACGAACCTCAATGGATTTGTATGGCGGTAATCGCTTGGAGACTAAAATCGTTGAGTATCGAAGATTTGCGTAGCCTTGTGTACGAAGCCCCTTAGACGTAGACGAGCGCATTCTAATACCTTCCAACAACAAACGCCAACGACACATGTACTTGAATTCGTTTGTTCGTTGTTGTATTTTCGATCTGTACGCTCACTAACATCATTCCAGGGCCTCTTAATACTTGAGAAGCCCTCAATGGTTATTTCGTGTTTCATAGTGGCTGGGAAGCTCACTTGAGGATCACTCACGGAAATTTTTAAGTTCAATTAATTTTCATGTACTCATGTACTATCAAAGTTGTCAGCTAATGGACAGTGATTCTGAGTAAAAGGGATTATGAATGGTTTCTGGAATTTATTGAGAACAACGTGAGATCACTTGCAATTGCCAAGAGGATATTTGAGGGAGGCTATGAATTCATTCAGTTTCTATGTTAAATAGCTTATGTAGCCCCATTAATTCATGACGACTGATAGAGGATTATCAATCCTACCAATACAACAGTTATTTGCTGCAATCCGTTTCTAATGCAACTGGAAATTTTGTATATTTGCTTATCCAAATTCCTTGTTCGTTTGTAGATTTACAGAGGATATCACAACCAAGTTATGAAAAGTGTATCTGAAGAGATTGCTCGGCATCTAACCAATCTCGTTAGGTTTCCGTCAAATGACCATGCTCAAAGAATAATGATTAGAATGTTTTTTGAAATGAGTAATTTTCCATCAGTGTCATCATATCAACCAAAAACCCACGAGAAGTAAGAGAGATTTCCTGAAGAAGAAAAGGGAACTATTTTCAGTGTTCAGTTGCATGTTTTAATGAATCAGTAGAAATGTATGAAATAATAGGTTGTTTTTTAAATTGCATGTGAACGGTCCATGGAAATTTTAGACATTTTTGTAAGATACCCAGCGTGCATGCATGCTAATGTTGGCTTTGAGAGAAGCTCATTGAGGCTGAATTATGAGAATAATCTGGGTATGCGTATCTCACAATCTTCACGAATCTGATCCATTTAATTACAGGAACAATGTTGCGTGACAATGACTATGCATGTAAAATATATTTATTGACACCAGTAATTGATCCCTCAAGCACACCTGAACGGATACACAACAGAGCGCACAAATGTACACCAATATAATTGAGAGGACATTTGGTGCCTGGAAATGCAAGTTTTTTTGTTTGAGAAGAGATTCGAGCACAAAGCTGGTCACTACAATAGCAGTCATTTAGAAAATAAGTAATGCTTGCCCTGAGATCTTAGTCTATTCTATTCATTCCACATCTCAAGAGGTACTTGATTATAGATTGCGTGTTTTTCGCAAATAAACGGATAATATTGTTACTGCAATATATAATTGGAATAGAGTAGCCAGCACCATACAGCAATATTTTTCAGTCCAGGAAATATATCTTCGCATCAACTCAAAAAAGACTCTGAAACGATTTTGTTTGCTTAATTTTATTCAAACAGGGCTCTTTTTAGCCAATCTGCATGTTTGCAGATCTAAAATTGTGTCAGTGTTTAAATAATATTTTTTAAACAGATTCCATTTTTCAGATTGTATTTGATCATTCTGACCATACATGGTTCTTATGCACCCTTATCTAAATTTTATGGGTTTCGAGATATAAGCGATTTAATATTTGTAAAAGTACAAAATATTCCATTTTCAACCCCAAAGTGAACATGAGAAAACGAACATTTTAATGTTGTGATCGTTCTAAAATATTATTCAAACATCCATTAACAAAATGCCAAAGCATTAGGGGGTATTGTAATTGTTAACCTGTTTTTTGTTATTGTTAATCAAGCGCCCGCTCCACGCATGAGCGCGAGAAAAAATACATCGTGGCCGCTCCAAGGCTGCATTTCTCTCGGGTTCACAGAGAATATGCATGGAGTGCGCGCTTGATAATAAATTAAGAAATAAAGTTTTACAATAACAATACCCCCTACAATTCTTTGGGATTTTGTTAATCAATGCTTGAAGTAGAGATCGACTTATATAGAATTTTCCTCGATACAGAGGCTGACAGCTGACATATCAGCCTGTAGGCTGTTTGTCTGTTTCTCCTCATCTGCTTACAATGGGCTGTATCCCAGTTCGGACGCCTTCTGTAAAGCACATGAGTCCCCAAACGCGTCTATGCAAATTATATTTGTTTGATTTGGTTGTATTTTAATACTCCACAAATATGTAATAAGGAAAAAAAACGCTGTCTGGACATATTTCGACAGGATTTCCGAACAAAAGACTAACGAATTTAATAGCGCATTTTATATAACGTCTGAGATTTATCCTGTGGTTTTCATGTCGATAATCCCCCATGTTTCTCTGGCAAATGAAATCGCATATATTTGAAATTCTTCAATGTATACTAAGTGACATATAAATCCGAACACCAGTTTAAATGGTTTTATTTTAATAAAAGTTGGTGAATGTATTTATCTTACTGTAAATAACAAGTGAAAAAATTTTCAGCCTTATCAGTTGGACATTCCTGTTTTTATACTGCTTTTTTTTTAATTCACTAACGCTCTAAAAATGAATATTTCAGCCGCAGTAAAGAATCAACGTTGGCGGATTTTGGTTCTTGACATCCTTTACGATCGGTTAGGATGCCTAGAGTACGGAGACCTGTACGATTTCGTCAACTTAGTGAGTTTGATAGGGGCCGTATAGTGGGACTTCGGGAAGCTGGTCTTTCTTTTCGGGCAATTGCAGTTAGAGTGCAAAGAAGTGTAGACACTGTGGTTAGGTGTTGTCAGGCATGGCTTCGAGAAGGCCGTACGCAAAGAGCAAGGGGCACTGGACGCCGCCGTAGAACAACAGACCGTGAAGATCGCCGCCTAAGATTATTGGCCTTAAGGGACCGTTTCTCCACTACCAGGTCCATTGCAAATGAATGGTTTGCAGAACACGGAAGACCTATTGGCATGCGAAGTGTTTACCGACGAATGAGAAGTTTTGGCTTGTTTTCATACCGGCCACACTGGGTCCTCCCTTTAACTCGAGAACACCGACGTAATCGCCTTGAGTGGTGCAGACAACGGTCACTCTGGGATCAGGAATGGAACAGTATTGTCTTTAGTGACGAGTCTCGATTTTGTTTAGGCATGCACGATGGTCGTGCCAGGGTTAGAAGGCGACGTGGTGAAAGGAGGAATCCACAGTTTTTTGTTGAAAGACATGTGCATCACACTGTTGGAGTTATGGTTTGGGGTGCTATAGCTTATGGTTCCAGGTCACCTTTAATCTTCATCAGAGGTAACATGAACGCGCAGCGTTATATCCACGAAGTTCTAGAACCCTATCTTGACACCCTGGCAGTTCCAACTTTTCAACAAGATAATGCCCGACCACATGTTGCAAGAGTCACAATAGACTTCTTTCAACATAATGATGTCACATTGTTACCATGGCCACCAAGATCTCCCGACTTATCCCCAACTGAGCACGTGTGGGATATGATGGGTAGGAGATTGCTCAATTTGCAACGTCCTCCTCAGACTCTAGAAGCACATCGAGAGGAGTTGGTGGTTGCCTGGAATGAGATACCACAGGAGGACATTGACCACCTGATCAGAAGCATGCCTAGGCGCGTTGGAGAATGCGTAGCACATCAGGGTGCATCCACACATTATTAAAGGTCAAAGGGCTTTAAAGCAGTGCAATCATTTTGAAATTTTTATCATTTACTTATTATGCTTCATTAAGTACTTATACAAAATTTTATTAAAATAAAACCATTTAAACTGGGTGTTCGGATTTATATGTCACTTAGTATATTATACGTTTCAGTCACAATGGTGACCTTCTGTACATGATACTTTGAACATTAAATAAACTATCAATCTAGCTTCTGAAACTGAACCTGTGGTTTTCATGTCGATAATCGTCCATGTTTATCTGGCAAATGAAATAACATATATTTGATATTCTTCTTTAATAAAATATTGTAAAAATTGTGATGTACTGAAGAAGGTCACCTTTGTAACTGAAACATACAACAAGAATTTCAAATACATGTGGTTTCATTGGCCAGACAACCATGAAGGATTAGTGCAATTTATGTCCTATGCAAAAAAACATACTAATTTGGTAGTGCAGTTTGTGTCCTATGCACAAAAACATATTATTTAGGGCTACAGATGGAAAGGAAGTTCATTATCTGATCGGTAAGATGATAGCAGTGAACAACCAACATTTCTCTCTCTCTCTCACTACTACAGCATTTCCTTCTTATGATTTACCATCAGATAAGTATTTTCATGAAACAATAATCTCTGGCTTAAGAGATGCAAAACATATGTACAAAAGAAAATAGATTGAAACCCCACTAACTTGCATATATGCACTTGCCGAGCATGCTTAGCGAGCAAGCTTTTTCTTAGGCGGGCAATATTAACCAATTAGGTTAACTCCTGACAGGTAAAAGATTTATCATGTTTACACCGTAATCAGCCAAAATTATATTTAAGTTCTTTAACCACATTGTTTTTAATAGCTCATGTTTTTTTTATATTTCCCATATTTATCTTTTGTATTCATTAATTTGCAATTATCCTTTTGCCAAAAAATTAAGACTGAAAATGTTCGGTTTTTTTTTCATACATATTTAACAAAAAGTTGAATGCTATTAAAGAAAATAAATGTATTTTTTGTATTGTATTTCTAAATTCAATAATAGCAAACGCGATATAACTGAATTTATATCCGCTGGTCTACACCGACATATGGAAAGTCAAATCTACCTATACATATATCGCCAAAATAGCTAATTTGCCGGTATGTATATCGGTATCGGTCGATCGATAGCTTCAAGAATGTTTAGGATTTCATTTTTTTTTATTTTGTTTTTTGAGGTCGAAAATGACATGTTTCCCACTCTTTCAAGTATTACATTTTTGTGTGAGTCTCTAGCACTTAAGAATGTTCTCAAGGGCTTCTCATTAAATTAATATGGGGCATAAGGAAAGTTACTTTTTATTCCAGATTTACAAGACAAGAAAAATTTGTACAATCCAAAGAAACCATATTGAAGATTGTTGAAGAGCTGAACTACAAACCATCTTCAAAATTTGAACACCAAATCATCTTAGGCGGCGACTTTTGCGATTTTTGCGTTACTGTTAATAACATGAAAAAACTTGAACATCTTCATGAGCAACTGGCAGTACAACTGATAAATGTGAAGGAAGAAATTGCAGAAAGTTGGACAAAGTTGAAAGAGATGTGGGATATGCTGGATATTGAGCTACTGGAGCAGCACAAGTTTAAGGAGGCCCACCAGGGGAACTCTCTAGATGTACTTGAAGCTTTACGTGTAGAGATTGGAAGGTGTAATGAGTTGAAGAAGGCCAATATTGAGGTAAGGCACATATTAATACACTACACAGAATATCAGTGCATGCAAAAACAACATAATCTTGACTGTTGAGATAATTTTAATAATTTAAATATTATATATAAAGAAAAAATGGAAAATCACTATTAAGAAAAGATCTTTATGAGTGGTTATTGAATACGGGCGCAACCTTGATATGAAAATTCTGATTTGTAAATATTAACTCATTTATTACCTTTTCCACATTACCAATCCAGAATGCATTATTACTGTATTATATTTATATTGTATTGATTTACACAATTCTTTGTCTCATAGACCATGTATTATTATTATATGTATTATGGAACAAGATCCACACACAAGGATATTCTCCTTTTGTGGCTTATTGATTTATTCACAAATTGTAATTAGTGTGACTAAATATTATTTTCAACTTTTATTTTTGTCCTTTTTCAATGAGGAATTGAATTTGCAGAAATTCATCACACTGTTGCGACAGCAGATTCAAGAAATGTGGCAAAAATGTCATGTTACTGAAGAGGAAGGGACATCACAATTTCATTTCTTTGACACGAATCATTACACAGAAACAGCCTTGGAACTATTCGAGAAAGAATTGCAGAAGTGGAAGGACTACTTTGAAGAAAACAAGTATGTGACATTTCCAGTTTTGTCTTTTGTTATTACAAGCAAATGAAGTGTAGTGCACTTATGAGTAGGTTATTTGAGGCATTGAACATGAATATGGAGGTTAAAAGTCGTGAAATGTCGAACACAGTAGTTAGCTTACTAACTTACTAAATCAAAATAAGAGTGAGATTTTGCCTAAAAGTGTGCTTAATGAATGTTTTGATATTATTGGAGCAAGAATATTAATCCTGATAAATTGCTGTTTAAAATATGGCGAATTTCCAACAAAACTGAAGTGCTCTACCATAACTCCTGTTCTAAGTTAAGAAGTCTGAGTTATACACCAATCTGCTGCCAATAAATGTTCTGCCAGATGTTGAAAAAGTTTTTGAAGAAATTATTTACGAACAGATCATCGAATTTATTGAGGGAAATAACATTTTAACCAAATTTCAATATGGATTCAGGAAGAAAAACTCAACTGAAATGGCACCACAAATGGTGTTGGAGGAATGGAGGAGATGTATGGATAATAGGAAACATACGGTAATAGTGTTTTTGGACTTCAAAAGGGCGTTTGAGGCTATTGACAGGGATAAATTACTTACAAAATTATATCACTACGGATTTAAAGGATCTGTATTCAAAATTCTACAAAACTATTTAATTGGCAGAAGTCAAAAAACCAAAATTGGATCTACATTATCAAGATCAAAAAATATTTCTGTTGGTATACCACAAGGTAGTAAAGTAGGTCCATTACTATTTATTTTGTACATCAATGAAATTTGTAATATTTTTAAGATTTTATAAAATTAAAATTGGGTGTTTCATTTGATTTTTTTTTGGTTTTACAATAAAAATATTCCAAAATACGAAAATTGATACTCAAATGTACATTATTGACGTTATCTCATGCAGTAAGCTTCAGAATAGTCTGATTTTTGTTAAAAAAATCTTCGTTCATCTCAAAAGCTTCAGTTTACTAGAAAAAGTCACATACAAATGTTTCGTACAAAATAATTAGAAAACCTCTACGTTCCATTACCTTTCAAATCAGGTATAAAAATCACAAATCGATTAAGAATTGGCAAAAATATCATATAAGAGGAGGAAGGAGAAAGCAATAAAAATACTACACTTACAAAATCATACCTTAATACAGGATAATTTGTTTGAAACTACATTTTTTTATTTTTATAATACATTTTCAATATGGCGCCCCTATTTCTAATGCACTTCTTATGACAGCTGATTTTACTACTGCCGAATTCCTAAGAGAGGCTTGCATTTCTTGTGCTGCATGTATTATCCTGTTTCTGAGGTCTTCTATTGTGGGTACAGGATTTTGATCAGAGTATACTAAAGTTTTCATGCGACCCCACACGAAAAAGTCCATCGGTGTGAGATCGGGACTGCGTGCTGGCCATTGGTCCGCTTCTACCGATCCATCGATTCGGAAACTGCTCATTTAACCAATTTCTAACACTTAGTCTGAAATGTACTGGGCACCCGTCATGCTGAAAAATCATTCTGTGTCTTGTGTGTAGCGGCACGTCTTCAAGTAATTCAAATAGAACATTTCTTAAGATTCGTAGGCTTCTCCATTTAAGTTGTCGGGCAGAAAATGTGGTCCTCCCAAACAGTTATTTATAATGCCCATCCAGACATTCAGACAAACTCGCCTTTGAGATCCTTTCGGTCTCTTCATATGAGGATTTCCCACTGCACGTTAACGCCAATAGTGAGCGTTATGGCAGTTTGTTATGCCGTCTTTATCAAATTTTGATTCGTCGATCCATAGAATTTTTCTTAAATAATTGCTATCTTCAACATCAGCGTTTAAAATAAAACGAAAAAATTGCATGCGCCTCATGGGATCTCCTTCATCTATGACGTGCACAGGTGTGTAGTGGTAAGGATGGAATATGTTTTCATGCAAAACATACCACCCTTGCCATTGGGATAATCCAAGCCGCCGAGCCACAGCGCGAGTAGGGTCTCTTTGGAAAATATTCAATATTTGGTCTTCTTCTTCCACATCATGCCGAGGTCTACCTGCATCACCTGAAATAAAATGAAAAATAAATAACATTTTTTTTGGAGGAAATTGTTACCTAATAAACATAGCGGTAAGACTATGAGCTACAGTTGGCAAAATATTATTTAGAAAAACCGATACACAACATATGGATGTTACCATCTTCAGAGCCGTGTAGATGCTCGTGTTAAAATTAAATAAATAAACTCTTAATTAAGAAATTCAATCAACTGTATCAAAACAACTATGTTACGTACAGTATCATCAGTTCAGCGCACAGACCTCCAAGCCTCTACATAGGCCTTACTGAATGACTGATTATGATAAGTTAATAATTATCAATGATGCAAACTTACCTTGATATCTTACGACGGTACCGCGCTCTCGAACCCGACGGAACGTTTGCCTAAATACGCAGGGCGTCAGGTAAGCGACGATTAGGAAACATTTCCCCATACTCACGACGAGCTTCTTCAGCATTGCCTCTGGCATCTCCATAGTAGAAAAGGATATCGGCATATTCTTGGAAACTGAACGGCCGCCTCCTTTGTTCCTCAGCCATTGTTCATCGATAGGCATATCAACGAACAATCAAGTCATACAGCAACCAAGTCGTAAGGAATCACAGAAAACAGGGTACAGTCTTGGTCGTCAGGAAAAGAATCACACACGGAAGTCCAACAAGAGCCAATTCGTTAGAAATATCAAAAGAGCGAGCAAACAAACACACCCGAACGCAACAAATCGCTAGAGCAGATTGAAGCGAGGGAAGGAGGGGGGTGACTAGTCTTACTTATCACCTATTCCGGTGGCAAAGTCCGATGTTCGCGGCTCTACCTGTTTCTTTCACTCATATCTTTGACATTTCTAAACCGGTTTCTGACTTTGATACCTCATTTGAAAGGTAATGAAACGTAGATATTTTAAAATTGTTTTGCACAAAAAATTTGTAGGTAATTGTTTCTAGTAAATTGAGTTTCTGAGATGAATGAAGATTTTTTTTAACAAAAATTGAACTATTTTGAAGCTTACTGCATGAGATAACGTCATTATGTAATGAGTATCAATTTTCGTATTTTATAATATTTTTGTTGTAAAACCAAAAAAAAAATCAAATGAAACACCCAATTTTCAAGTTTTATGACTTGGTTAACGTATAAAGGATGTTAATTTTATGAAATCATAAAAATTAGTATGATTCGAAAACGGCTAATTTTCGGACAGTACTTCCTATAGTAAAATCGACTCAAATTGGCTTGTACTATCTCCCCCCACCGGCTCCGCATCTATTTTCCCGTCACCCTATATATATATATATATCAGATGAAAATATAGACACTGCTAAATTCTGACTTGGCAAAAATCGTAAATAAACTAAAATTGATACTTTTAAAACAAGTTAGGATAAATAGAGAAATAATGGAAAATGTTAAATCAATTAAATAGTTAGGCATATATTGATAGCAAACTAAAGTTTGTGGATCACTATGAATACATTATTTCAAAAATTGACAAAAAACAAATTACTTTTATAGGGTTTCTCATAGTCTTAGTACATATTCCAAAAAAATAGTTTATAATACAATTAGTCTACCGCATTTACTATATTGTTCAACTATCTTGTTCACTGCCAATGAAGCTTTATTCTCAAAATTACAAGTTTTGCAAAATAAAGCTATGAGAATAATATTGAATAAAAATAAGTACACCAAAACAAAATCTATGTTACAAGAATTGCAGTGGTTGAATATAAAAAAATTCATATCATATTTGGTTCTTATTTTTACATTTAAAATAAAAAAATCATCTTTTGCCACAACATTTAAAACACATAGAATTGAATAATCATTACCACAATTATTATACAAGATTAAATATAGATTTTCATTTACAAAATTGCAATAGTAATATAATAAACTAAATAATGATATAAAGTCTACTTGTCATTTAAAGATGTTTTAAAGAAAATTAAAGGAATATTTCATGGGCAGTGAAAATTCTCAGAGATGCAGACTTCGTTTTTATTCTAAATATCTGTATGTTATGTAATTGTTTAGTTTTTTGAAAGAATGTAATTGTAACAATCATGCTAAATAAATCTTGAACAGACAAACAGACAAAAGGCGCCCCTACAATTCCAAGCAAAAGACACACGATTTTTCTTCCGCTCGTCACTCAAAGTGTAGGAACAAGTTTTGCACAGACTAGTCTCATCTGCATCATTAGTTCTCCATCAAGTTTTCGAATCGTCAATCGTCTGTTTGATCGACCTATTTTTGCCACTTTTCATTGGTTTTTGAGCTCGATGGATATCCCGACCTTTGCTCGTATTCATCCGACATATTCCCGATTTTGTATCGCTCATACCAATTATAGTCTCCAGAGTCACCATACCCGGTTTTAACATTTCATCAGTTTCTTTGGCACTCTTTTGCAACTTAAAACAAAACTTTATCTTGTTCCAAAACTATGATGTGTACCACAAATACATCAAATATGACCTTACTCCTTTGGCTCTGGAAACCAATAGACAAGTGCTTGTTCAAATTTACGACAGACTATGTCGATAACACGTACTATCAAACATATTGCTTTAAATCTGTGTGCTGATGACACGTTGGTATATTTAGCATGCAAAAACCAAAGTCAAGGTGTCGATATGGTAAACCGTGATCTGGCAAATATTGAAGCATAACTAAAATGAACAAATTGAAGCTGAATGCTAAAAAAATCAAAAGCAATGATCATGTGAAGTAGATACAAAAACAGAAATATAATACAAGCTTACATCCAGATCAAAGTTGAAAATACATCGCTTGATATAATAGTAATATTTATTCACATCAATTATAAATTGTGAATGAATTGATATGCCACAAAAAATATCATCATTCTAACACACAACATATTCGTATAATATAGTAGTTATAATAAATTGATTGGACTAAAAAAATCTATATAATATAAATTTAAACTCAGA